ACGAGACCTTCTCCACTGGCTCCCACTGATGTCTGAGGTTGTTGTGTCCTTGAGCAAGACACTTAACCCCACTTTCCCTGAAGCCCCTGCTGAATGATTAAGGCTCCTGTGGACTCAGCACCTGCAGGAGAATCAGTGAGGGGCTGGTACTCTGTGAACTGGGTGCTGCTCTGACTGCCACCTCCACCCCCTGACCTAGAAATGGATTAAAGGGAAGAAGATCCATGTGCTTGTTGTGTTTTTGTCGTTATTTGCTGTTATTACTTCCTCTGGCTCTTCCAACTCATCCGGAGAATAGAATTCACTGAGAATAATCCCAGTCGTTGCTCATTAGTTCTTTTTTTACCAAGGAAAGATATCAAATGTGATACGCACTGCGGACCAATTGTCATGGTAACGGCCCGAGATGGGAAAATATCAGACCGCAAATCAGCCAATCAGAGCGTGTGTACGGTCCAAGACATAAAATAAAAGTTATTATACAAGGATAAATCTGGTTACTGTTTCTAGTTTCTCTGATGTAGTCTTTTGGGAGAACTGGATAAATTATTCATGAATCCCGTCATGTGACAGAGCGACGTCATTAACCTTATATTAACAGAGTCGGAGCCAGACCTTGAGACCGGGACTGCTTTAGAGTCAAAGAGGTTTCCCTGTGTTTTACTAATGTATCCTCTCCTTTTATTGGGCCCGGCTCTGTGACAAAGTACTATGCGTATTAAATTCATACTTTAAACCATTTATATTTCACGCCAATGCAATCATAACCACTGCTTCTGTGACTGTGGTTATGACACTTGTTGGGCTTTGACATTTCTCTCATCAAGACTTCAACCCTTTGGTCTGAGCAAATGCAGCGCTCCAGATTTGGCTCTGATCTGTTTATTATGACGCAGTGCAGAGTCTGGTGAATAATTGTATCTTTATTACTCGGGATTGAGCTTGATTTGGATGGACATTTATTTATGGCTTTTATATTCTTCATTCTAAGACATTTGAACCATGTTGTGATGATTTACCTTCCACTCAAAGGGATTTGTCTGTGTTCATTCTAAGCCTCCTGTTTGCACCGTACACACTTTCTTTGTTTAATGATCTTTCTTCATGTGTATTTCATGGATGAATTATTAGTGTCATGGAGGAATTATCTATTTCTTGCGGCTGTGTTTTGCTGCCAACAGAAGTTTATGCTCACGAATGGAAATGTGTGAATTTGATCGGTTTGAACAGAGCACTATAAATGATCTTGCCTTTGTCTTTTTGTACTTTTTACCTTGTTATATTCATGTAAACACTGGGGACTTTTGCAGATGTATTCCAATGTGGTTTTACTGCAAAGGGCAAATGAAATAATCTGAATCCTCGTCACAACAAAACTCCAAGCGATTGTTTTGTTTGTCATCTGAACCCTAACCCTCAGTATCGTTGTTTAAGATGTTCAAACTATACAATAATGACACAGAAAAGTCGTACATTTGTCGTTCTATAGAAGCCCATGTGCTGCACCATGTTTGTTCCATAACTCTCTTGTTGTTTGATGGTTTGAAATGTCTGTAAACTTCACTCTTCCTGATTACTTCACGTTAACTGCTTATCTCAACGTTGGCCAGTTCAGGTACTTGTTCTTCCTGATTCTTCTTTGCTTATTTCTTTGCACAATTGGCGCCAACTCTCTTCTCGTCTACGTCATCTCCACAAGCCAAAGTCTGCACGAGCCCATGTACATTTTCTTATGCAGTTTATTCTTCACGGAACTTTTGGGCAGTAGTGCGATTTTTCCCATGCTTCTGGTTCACATTTTGTCGGACGTGCATCAAGTTGCGATTCCATTGTGCGTCTTGCAAAACTTCTGTCTCTACACTTACGGTGGTTGCGAACTGTTGATTCTCGCTGTGATGGCCTACGATCGCTATCTCGCCATATGCTGCCCTCTGGAATACCACGCTCGCATGACCCCATTCAGAATATCTTTTCTCATTGCGCTGACTTGGGTTTGTCCCATTATCCTGTGTGTAATAATGGTTTGTCTGAGCTCCACGGTGCAGCTTTGTAATAACCTCATTCACAAAGTCTACTGCGACAACTACTCCATTTTGAAGCTGGCCTGTTCGGACACGACAAACATCAACATCTGGGGCCTCTTCATAGGAACTCTTTCCATTTTTGTGCCTGTGGTAGTTATTTGCGTCTCCTATATACTCATTTTGAAGGTGTGTTTCATGGGTTCAAAGCAGACTCGTCAGAAGGCCGTGAGAACCTGCTCCCCACACATTGCATCCTTGATCAACTTCTCTTGCGGAGGCTGTTTTGAGCTTCTCCAGAGCCGCTTCAACATGAGCAGTTTGCCCAATGTGCTGAGAATAGTTCTGTCGTTGTACTGGTTAACCTGCCAGCCGCTCTTCAACCCTCTGCTCTACGGACTCAACCTGTCCAAGGTGAGAGTCCTTTGCAGAAGTCTCTTACTAAGCCATGTCTAAGTCGTGTTTGTAGGACGAGTGCGCTGAGCCGATGGGGAAATGAACATTAGACAATATGAAAATAAATACAGACTTTCCACAATCATGTTTGTTTGGTCGTTATCATTAAACTGCATTACAGACTCATGGTCCAGGTTAAAACACAAAACAACACATACTGTATAATAATAAGCCTCACTCATGTTATGTGCCTATAATCTTAAAGTTATTTGGTTCTTCTAGACCAGACATCAGTAAGTTAGCAATGTTATTACCTTGACATGTTATACTTCTGTCTTCCTGGGCACACATTATTTTAAAATTTCTTCCAGACCAGACAATAGTAACTCAGAATTCTAGTTAGTATGATTTATTTCAAACCTGCAGAACACAATTTCACATATCTTTACACCAATACAGGTTTGTTTGAAAAGAGGTTGGATGAATCAGGTGCCTATTTGTTCCCAACCCCCTCTCACAATTCAACGCAATACACAGAACACAAGAACGCAATTAACATATAATATCAATACAAATGTCACACTGTGCAGCACATACCGTAATATACCCTGTCATGGGTAATATAGCACATATTAGTATGAGTCAACATAAGAAAAACATGTACAGTCTATAAAAGTAGTATATCCCACTTTTAAACCTCTAAAATATAAAGTTGCTTATTATAAAATCAATATTGAAAAGCAAATTTGTACTCTTCCATAAAGTGCCATAAGTTGCTGTACTAGTTGTAGAGGCAGAAGTTCTGAACATGGATGGGTCGACTGTGGCCCAATCTCTGCCAGAGAATGGACGTGTGAAGGTTTTGCTAATTTAGACTTATCCATCTGTAAGAAATGACTGAAAGACCCAGTGGGAAAGAATGGGTGGCCCAGGAAGATCCAGGACTGAGGCTGTAGACCCAGGACTGAGGCTGTAGATCCAGGACTGGGGCTGTAGACCCAGGACTGAGAATGTAGACCCAGGACTGAAGCTCTAGACCCAGGACTGAGGCTGTAGACCCAGGACTGAGGCTGTAGATCCAGGACTGAGGCTGTAGATCCAGGACTGAGGCTGTAGACCCAGGACTGAGGCTGTAGACCCAGGACTGAGGCTGTAGATCCAGGACTGAGGCTGTTGTAGATCCAGGACTGAGGCTGTAGACCCAGGACTGAGGCTGTTGTAGATCCAGGACTGAGGCTGTAGACCCAGGACTGAGGCTGTTGACCCAGGACTGAGGCTGTAGACCCAGGACTGAGGCTGTAGATCCAGGACTAAGGCTATTGATCCAGGACTGAGGCTGTAGATCCAGAACTGAGGCTGTAGATCCAGGACTGAGGCTGTAGATCCAGGACTGAGACTGTAGATCCAGGACTGAAGCTGAAGACCCAGGACTGAAGCTGTAGACCCAGGACTGAAGCTGTAGACCCAGGACTGAGGCTGTAGACCCAGGACTCTTTAGATCTGTAGTGTCTTTCAAGCATAATACTGATGGCCTTGTTCAGTGTGTTTGTTATTATTCGGCTTTCTGCGCATGAGAGTTCGTGTTGTGTTTCCCTTTTGGCCTGTTGTTATAATTATCTTCTCTTTCGGCACACAGTTCTCAGATACACAAATGCTGAATCAGTACACACACACAACAGTTATTGTCTTTAGTGTTATAGCAAGACCGTGGTCATTTCCAGTACACCTGATGCACCATGGTCTTGATAGAACACCGTATGTATTCAGTAGTACCAAATTGTGAGATTTCAGAATCCTTTCCTCCATTAAGGTTGAGGCTCTGGTTTCTGGAAAAGTAAATCTTGATTGGATAAAATGTTGGCTTCTCAAACTCACCGAGCCCTAACCCTGAATGTGACTCTGTTTGACCTTTCATAAAAAAGAAGTAGGTACGAAATATGGGCAATGGGGCAGTTTTCCCATTCCTTTTGGGTGTGTGTTGCAGAACTTATTCTTATACAGTCACGGCTACACTAATTGCTTATGACCAATATTTTGCCAAATGCTGCCCTCTGGAAAACCACGCTCGACTATCACCTGGTTGGACCATCCTGTGAAGATGTTTTGAGAGGAAAGAAGACGCCATACAAAAAGCATTGGATAATTCTATTTCTTGGTCCACCCCCACCGGCCCAGAGTGGTATTACAAGCATGTCCGCGCACATGCTCATGGACCTTTTGGAGCCATGACCCGCCCCCACTGGGTTTGTCTCATTATCCTGTGTGTAATAATGGTTTGTCTGAACTCCATGGTGTCTTTTCAATAACCTCATTCACAAAGTCTACTGCAAAAACTACTCAATTTTGAAGCTGGCCTGTTCAGACATCTCTAGTATCAACATCTAGGGCCTCTTTGTTCTAGAAATCTCTATCATCTTGCACATTGTGTCCTATATGTGCAAGATATGTACTTCCGGTGACCATGCGCGGCTGAGGTAAACCTGGCGGAGACCTTCCCACTATTACTTAAATTATCCCTTACTAAAATAACCTAGAGTTCAGATTGAATCTAAAATATCATACGAAGGGCCAACCTGCTGAAGGATGAATAACCCTAAGCCCAAGCAAACGCGGTCTGGGAAGCAAGCGGCATCTCACGAGGAGGAGGAAGTCTGCGAGACAGGTCACCTAACAATGCAACAGCTGATCATAGAACTAGACAAACAACGTCAATATCTTAAAGATGATTTGTCCACTATGATCAATGACTCTATCAGACCAGTGCAGTTGTCTGTGGACTCACTGAAGGAACAAGTGCAGGACTTCACTGTCAGATTGACCCATACAGAAGCACTTGCGGGTGAAAACTTCGAAAAACTCACCCAAGCTGAAGGAACCATTAAATCCTTGGAAGCACGGAATAAAATCCTCTTTGAGCGCGTCGATGACTTGGAGAATAGATCGCGCAGATCAAATCTGCGAATCATTAACATCCCGGAAGGAAGCGAACGCGGACGCGACCCGGTGGAATTCATGTCCGAGCTGCTGAAAGAATGCATGGGGCCAGACGTCTTCCCGCGGCCCCCGGTTCTGGAGAGAGCCCACCGTACACCGGGTGGATCTCGCTCCGAGCACCAGCCGTCACCTCCGAGGACCTTTATGGTGTGTTTCCACTACTTCCAGGAGAAGGAGAAGGCTCTGCGCTGGGCTCGGGAGCATGAACTCAAATACAAGGGATGCACTTTGAGAGTTTACCCGGACCTAAGCGCTGCCCTCGCCAAGAAAAGAGCTGCATTCAACGCGATCAAGCACGAGTTGTATGAAAGAAAAATCATCTTTCACTTGCTTCATCCAGCAAGGCTCCGCGTGCGAGTTGGTGATGAGACGCGCGTCTTCGACACTCCAAAGGACGCTGAGACTTGGCTATCAGGCCACTCCAACAAGTAAGTGAGTGACATCTCATCTCTCGCGGAACGGACTTCAACACATCGGATAACTTCGTATTTTTGTCTTTTTTGATTACTATAGTGAACTGATAAAGACTCAATTGCACAAAGATATATTTAGCCTACAATATATTTTTCTGTAGGTTTTTTTCTGTTTTCTTTCTGTTTCTATATAAAGTATATATCTAAAAGAGGGGACTGAAAGGCCTTGGATGGTTAAGGGTGAATTCCCATGCCCAAGAGATTTGTGTTGTTATTGTACTTCCTTGGACAAGTATTCCCATGCCCAAGTGATTGTTGTTGTTGTTGTACTTCTTTGGCCAAGTGAAAATGATCTGATAAAATAAAATAAAACATTTTTTTACCACCTGTCAAAACTTTAGGTTATCACATACTCAAATGGGAGTCTCCATAAGGGAATAAGACTACTTCATTATTTTTCTCCTTTTAAGAACAACTTTTTTTGTTTGTTTATTATTATTATTATTATTATTATTTTTTTTTTTTACACAGTTACTTTTCCTATTGTCAATGTCTGTTGTGCATGTGTGTGTGTGTTTTGTGTGTGTATGTGAGAGATTGTGTGCGTGGCTGCTTGAATGTTGTTGTGTGTGTGGGTGTTTGTGGTATGTCTGGGGCCTTCACTCTGACCATGCATTCTCGCCCATCATTCATGCTTTTGATACGTCACTAGATGTATAGTTCAGATAACGATACCTCATCTGATATTGAGGATGAAGATTTGAGCATGAACTCGCATAACTCTGATCAACGGATCAACTTCTCTGAAAATGTCAATTATAAATCACAAACCTACATGAATGAAATTGATCCAGACGGAAATGTCTTACTAAATTGCAACGAGTGTTTATATTATACTGATGTCACATTTGACAAAAAACTCACACAAGATAAAAATATGTCTCTTGTACATTTTAATAGCAGGAGTTTATGCTCAAATTTCGATGACATTCAAGGTTATCTGAAACAATTCAAATCACCTTTTAATATAATAGCTGTTTCAGAAACGTGGTTGAATGAAAATAACAATAGTGGTTTTGAAATGAATGGTTATGAAATGTTTTGCACAAACCGGCAGAACAAGAGAGGAGGAGGCGTGGCATTATATATTGATAAAAATATAAACTGTAAAATTGTAGAGAACATGTCTGTTGCAGGGACGAAATTTTTGAATGCGTGACTGTAGAACTGGCAATGCCAAAAAAGAAGGCATTTATTGTTAGCTGTTTTTACAGAACACCAGGATCAGACCTGAAAACATTCAAGGAATGGATTGAAAAAACATTCATTTAATAAAAAAACAAAAAATATATTATTTGTGGTGATTTTAATATTAATCTACTAAATCCCAATAAACATAAATGCACAGAAGAATTCACAGATACAATGTTTTCCATGGGTCTGTACCCTTTGATTACAAGACCCACAAGAATCACAGCATCCAGTGCCACTTTGATTGACAATATATTCTGCAACATATTAGAGAAAGATATAACCAGTGGAGTTCTTGTAAATGATGTGAGCGACCATTTACCAGTTTTTATGTTATACAAGCTAAACTCTGAAATAACTAAACCTGTTAACACTGAATGTTTTCGCAGAGTCATCACTGAGCAATCAATACTAAATTTAAAGAACGATTTGGCAATACAAAAATGGGAATTTATCTATGAAATGTCAGACATTAACACAGCTTACAACTCCTTTCTTGACTTATTCATTACCTTATATGACAAACATTGTCCAATCAAAAAGTGCACACTAAGAGACTCCACAAAAACCCCATGGATAACCAAAGGGCTTTCAAACGCTTGTAAAAAGAAAAGTTATTTATATAGAAAATTTTTGAGACTAAGAACAAGTGAGACTGAATTACGTTATAAAATATATAAAAATAAACTAACCAGCATTTTGAGAGCAAGTAGGAGAGAATACTACACTAATTTATTAATTAAAAAGAGAAATGATATCAAGGGATTATGGAAAGTATTGAACACAATTATCGGTCGTGGTTCCGACAATTCTAGCTATCCTGAGTACTTTGTGGAGAATGACACAATGATAAGGAACAAGAAGACAATTGCCGACAGCTTCAACACGTTTTTTGTAAATGTAGGACCTGAACTGGCCAAAAAAATCCCATTAAGCGATGAACCATTGGAAGGATTAATTGACATAAATCTGAACTCAATGTTCCTCACTCCCGCTGATGAGAGAGAAGTCCTCAATGTTATTAATAAATGTAAGAACAAAAACATCATGTGATATTCACGGCATTGATATGAGTATGGTACGTAACGTAGCTAAAGAAATTGTTAAACCTTTCACACACATCTGTAACTTGTCTTTTCAATTTGGACACTTTCCTTCCAAAATGAAAATGGCCAAAGTGATCCCAATTTTCAAAGCAGGAGACAAACATTGTTTCAGCAATTACAGACCTGTCTCTCTTCTGCCGCAGTTTTCTAAAATATTAGAAAAACTGTTTGACATGAGACTTCGTCGATTCATTGAAAAACATAATCTACTCTATGATTGTCAATACGGGTTCAGGCCAAACAGATCCACCTCACTTGCTCTGATTGACTTAGTGGAGGAAATAACGAATTGCATCGAAAAAAATAAATTTGTTTTAGGAATTTTCATTGATTTGCAAAAAGCTTTCGACACTATTGACCATCATATTTTAATTAATAAATTGGATAACTATGGTATTAGGGGATTGGCAAGAAAATGGCTAGAGAGCTATTTGAGGCAAAGAAAACAGATTGTACAAATTGACCAACATAAATCTGATTGTATGGATATAGTCTGTGGAGTACCACAAGGGTCAATATTAGGACCAACACTATTTATAATGTACATTAATGAACTATGTAATATTTCAAAAGTGATGAAATGTGTTCTCTTCGCGGACGACACAAATATTATTTGTTCAGGTGAGAACCTGGAGCAGTTGTTGTCCTCTGTAACTGTGGAACTGAAAAAATTAAAAACTTGGTTTAATAAAAATAAATTGTCACTTAACTTAAATAAGACTAAAATTATGCTATTTGGGAATCGTAAAAGTAACACACCGGTCAGGATAATTATTGATGATATACCTATTGAGAACGTGAAACAAAATGTGTTTTTAGGAGTGGTACTGGATGAAAAGATTAAGTGGAAACCACACATCAGCTACCTTCGAACAAAAGTGGCAAAATGTGTTGGAATGATGAAAAGATCCAGTCATTCACTGAACACTAATGCTCGACTTCTATTGTATCATTCCTTCATTCTATCATATCTTAATTACTGTGCTGAAGTTTGGGGAAACTGTTACCAGTCCCATTTACAACCTTTAATCTCCTTACAAAAAAAAAGCCATTAGAACTGTGTCTAATGTCCACTACAGACATCATACTAATCCACTGTTTATAGAATTAAAAGAACTTAAGCTTCAGGACCTGATCTACTTTAAAACTGCTCAGATAATGTTCAGGGCCTCTGAAAACTCTCTGCCGCCTCATGTCCAAAACCTATTTCATGACAGAGATGCTCACCACAGCTACAGTTTAAGAGGAAGCCAAAACTTATATATGCCTAAATGTAGAACTACTTTAAAATTGATGTGTGTCTCTGTGCGAGGAGTGACTCTGTGGAACAACTTGTCTGATTCATTAAAAACATGTTCAAATCTATTATATTTTAAAAAGCTGTTCAAGAAGGAAGTGCTGAAGAAGTATGTGGAGGAGTGAGGACTTCAGCACTGAGGGAGGGAGGTGTGTGGTCAGTGAATGTTTGGGCCTGTGTCGTGTCGGGTGATGTGATGGTGTTGTGTGTGTGTGAGAGCATTTGTAATTGTGTTGTGTGTGTGTGATTGTGTTTGGCTGTGTGTGTGTGTGTGTGTGTGTGTGTGTGTGTGTGTGTTAAATGAGTGAGGGGCTGGAGCCAAATAAGCGTCTGCTTCGTCCAGCCTCCTTTACAAACATTTTATTTCTGTTTATTCTGTGTCTTGTTTGGATTATACTTGCATATTGTTTATATTGTTTTGGTTTTTTTATTGCATGACGTTTGAAATAAAAATACTACTACTACTATATGCAAAAGTCTTATTAAGCCATATCCATTAATGCTTCAGCTACTGCTATGTCTCACTATGGCTGTAAATTATCACTGTGGTATAAGATTGTATACTTTATCAATGATCACACAATCATGATTGCCTCTGAAGGTTTATTTGGTCTTTAGGTACATATACTTCAGATGGTCCTGCAGGCTTTTAGTGTCAGCAAAAGATACAAACTTATCATACGTTAAAGCTGCATCATGCCATTTTTTATGAGCTAAAAAAGTTTGTGGGAGTGGGCAGCTTGGTGCCTCCACATTTGATCACAGTTGTGTCTGTGCTCCAGGATCAAGTGCTTTGTAGGGTTTCTGGAGCAGGGGTCCATCAGCAGAGAAAACCTTCCAAACAATGGATTCATGCCCCAGCATTAGACATAATACTGGGGCACCTCCTTAGCATGGGGTAAAGTCTGGGCTTCAGACAAAGCATGGTTCAAGACCAACCATGGATCTCAGAACAAGAAGAATCGTGACATCACCACTCTGGTGCAGCCGGGGCCCCACCCTGGAGCCAAGCCTAGGAGCTCGTAAACGAGCGTCTGCTGGCTCAGCCCAAAAAGACGACGTGAGCCTGCCCTGCTGGGGACAGCACCCTCTACAGGTCAGCGTGGAGAATAACCCAGACTGATCCCAGTCATGCTCTTTAATCTATCTTCCACTCAACAATCTCTTGCACAGGTCTCTGATTGTTGACATTTTTAGTCCATACATCAGTGGATTAAACAACGGCTGAACTGTCAGAAAGTAAAGCGACAGGAGAATATCCACCAGGCGATTTCCCGTAACACTCACGTCAAACCTGCTCTGAACGATCTGGAACGAACATCCAAATGAGAAGTTCAGCACAGACAGAAGATGAGGGGCGCAGGTGCTTAGAGCTTTGCGTCTTGTTTCTATAGATCCATTAAAACAGACTTGTAGGATGCGTACATATGTGAACATTATGAGACTCAGGGTGGGAACCACAGACAAAACCGTGTAGATCAACCCAAATATGTTGTTGACGTTGGTACTGTAGCAAGCGAGTCTGACAATGGAGTAGTTCCCGCAAAAAATCTTGTCTATTACATTCCCACATAGTTCTAAAGACGCGCTCAAAGACGTCAAGATGGAAATTCCCACAAATGTGACAAACCAGGTGAGAAAAATCAGAAGAGAGACTTTGGTTGAGTTCATTTTGTTGTTGTACTGAAGTGGGAAGCAGATAGCTAAGTAACGGTCATAGGACATGGCAACTAGCGTCAGAAACTCAGTATTCGCATAGTGGTAAATGCAAAATATCTGTAAGAAGCAGAAATGGACGGGTACAGAGTGAGAGTCCGACGAGATCTGAGTCAAGAGAAACGGGAACAAGGCGGTGCTGCCATAGAGGTCGTTCACAAACAAGCTACAGAGAAACATATACATCGGTTCATGCAAAGTTCTGTTCAGACATATGACAAAGATTAGCAGCAGGTTGGACAAAACTATCAGAACATACAGAGACAGAACGATGGTAAAGTAGAACCATCGCAAAGGCCCAATGTCCCAAGCTCCCAAAGTCATATGGGAAATCTGACTGGAGTTAACCATTATTCATTAAAAAATACACAAGTTCAAAATCAAAATCACTTATAGGACCAGCGTGAATGAGATACACACCTCCTTTGCATGGGGTAAAGTCCAGGACCAGTTAAAAATCAGCTTCTTGTGTTTTATGCAGAATGCTATCCATAAAAACAATCCATGTTTCTTTGTATTTGTTTAAGTTAAAATCAGCTGTACACCAAGCTTTTTTTCTATGTTAAAAGTCCAGAGTGAGCCATTGCACTGATAACATAAACAGTGAAACTTTAAAACATACTTTTTTACTCATGTTTCTCCAATACTAACAAAATCTTAGTGAGTTTGAACCAATCTATAACCACAAAACCTGTTATGGAAAAATGTTACCTTGGGTTGGTAGCTAGAGATGAGACAATAGCTAGTGTCATGTTATTACAAATCCTCTTCAAAGCAATTAATTGATCTTGCACTGTTTTGGTTGATTGGATTCATAGAGACATTTGCTTCTTGTACCTTTTTTAGCTTGTTTTATATATGCAGTATGTACTTGTCTGGTGCACACTGGGGGAAAACGTTGGCAAATGTTTTCCAATGTGGTGCTGAGTCTGTACAAATGTCACTGATAATTCACTCGTAACTTTGTCACTAGTCACTTTTACCTGTTATTAGTGTTACTGCATTATTACATATCTGATATTTCTGCCTTTCACCGTCACTTTACCTGATGATATTATTTCTGATGTTCATTCATATTCTCATATTCTCAGCGGCTAATGTATAATTTAGACATCTGTAAATACTTCTGAACCAAATGCAATTATAGCCCCAGAGTTTCCTATTTTATTTTATTTTAATCTTAATTTTATTGTCTATTATCTTAAATAATAGACTTATTTGATGTGTGCAATCTGAGTGCTCTTATTCCTCTCTCTGCTGTAATGTGCGCAACGATGACACTGAAATTTCTCCACAGTGAGACTGATAAAGGTTTATCTTATGTTATCTTTACTGCAACTGGAAAATAAACTGATTAGACGGTAAATAAACTGATTATTCCAAATTACACAAATAGAAAATAACAAGGGAAAATGTTATAGGAGCCAGTGTTGAAGAGCCTGAGATGGTACTGTATGGCCAATATTAAGTTTTATAGATCAATCCAAATGACAGTATTTTGTCTTAAAATTCAGCGTTTTTCTCAGAAATCTACACAAGAAAACCCTGAGAAGCATAAAACTAATACTACTATAGTTCAATCACCTCTAAACTATCACTGGACCAAGTAGATATTAGTAGATCCATGTTGAATTTTGCCTTGAAGGTGTGTTATTACTCAGTCAGGGCTAACTCACTCTCAAGGAAGAAGTTCTCAAGCAGCATCACTTTGGGTCAAATGAATAAGACGGGTCTAAGGACTGTGGTCATGATCCATATTCAACAACATTCATGGACACTGGTCTGTGCCTCTTATGGACCAATGGCTCTATGTGTTTGTTATCACTTGCATTTCCTGTGTTTTAACTATTTGATTCTTAGATGTTGTGTTTTGGCGAATCGACAGCTTTGTAAAGAGCTGTTCTGTTGTGACTTAAGGCTATACAAAATGACATTGAATTGAATTGATAACTTGTCAAAAGAGACCGAGAGACCTACATGCAATCATGAATTCTATCCTATAGTTGTACCTCATTACCTCACATTAGTATAGAAGGCAATGTAAAATAAGATGCAGTTTTTTTGTTGTACTTTTAGGCCTTTTTCTGAACCTCAGATCAGCGTTACTTACAAGCACACCACAGATAACATGTAAAAAATGTTAACTTACGTCTTAAACACAATAATTTCATCCAAAACCTCATGGATACATTTCCTCGTTCACATTAAAAAACAAATTAATGATAATAATTTCTATGTGTTTTAAAATGACTTGGGATTTGGGGTTTTCTATATGAAACTTTTTTCCATAATATTCTAGACATTTTCTCCCATTTACAGCATTAACTGATCTATTGAGTTATTGTTGTTATGAAAAGGGGAATATTCCAGGTCACATAAGCAAATCTGTAAAACTGGTCAAATATCACTAACTGGAGAAGGAGATACATACCTCCAGAACAGTTGCAATTCCAAACAAGACATTTACTCAAACTATTGTTCAATAAAAAAAACCTTTAAGTTTAAAACCTACAATACCAAACAAAGGATTTAATGAAAACTATGACTTTACAATGTGGTTTTTCAGCTGCTGACTCTCACTATTGACCTGGAGGACGCAGATACAGTAAAGCTCTGCCCAGAATCCTTTGTGTTGTTGGTGTTTTAAAGACGCATCAGGAACCACCTCCAGAAACCACCTCCAACTCAGAAATCCCCTGGGTAATCAGAGAGCCATACACGACAATCAGTAAAACACAGGTAAAATAATGCATTGGTTTTATACAGCGCTCGTTTGGACTCACAAAGACATTCATTCATTGAAGAAAAGCTCTCAGTTTGTGCTATCGGCCTCCGACCACCTCTGTTCATACACACCAGACTCATTCTAATGTGGGTGAAGTGTCTTGCCGAAGGACACAACCGCAGCTGCCCCACTGTGGCACCTGGTGTTCCCAGAGGTCTCCCATCCCAGTACCAACCAGGTCCTGCCCTGCCTTGAAATGTCAAACCGGTCGTGATTTGGGCTTGGCTAACCATTGTTAAAGTCCTGTCTCATGACATTGTAATCTCATTTACCCTGTTCAAATATTGCAGTAAGTCATATTTATTTTTATAGAGCGTTTTTTTAGACTTTTTGTACTAGTAAATTCCATCCACTCCTGGACGACTGAGAACAGGGAAGTCAAAGTCAAATACATCAGGGCCAAAGAAACAACTTTGCTGCAAGCCGAGGGCCAGACTGGTTCATCCATCTATCCATCCATTAAGTGTTGGGATTATAAGGTTCGCTTCAGGTGTCCCATTGACTTCTGTCGCCCACGTGAGTAACAATGTACTCTGTAATACCGTGTTTTTGTTCTGCACGGGTTGTGACTTTGGGAAAGGACTTGAACCTCGAGAAACACACATTGTTTTTTTTGCCCAAGGGTGAAATGTTTTTGAGGATTGTGTCTCGGACCACATACAGCTAAAAACCCTATACATAATAATAATAACAATATAATAATAATAATACACCTTTTTTAATTTTCAAAAACAGTGTTTACAAAGTGCTGCACAGTCAGGATAGAGCAATAAAACAGACAAAAAGACCAAGGTACAGACCGAGCAAGCGAGGTTAATAAATGTTTTATTATATGACTATTTTTAATTTATGCAAATATTGATCTCCGACTTGGTTTTCCCAATCGTGTTTTTAGCTTTCTGGTCTGTAACGAAGTTGTCATTCTCTTCTTGACTGTTAGCATTTGCTGTTATTACTTCCTCGTGCTCTTCCAACTCTTCGCTCATTCTCTTTTTTTACCGAGGAAAGATATCAAATTTGATACGCACCGTGGACCAATTGTCATGGTAACGGTCCGAGATGGGAAAATATCAGACCGCATATCAGCCAATCAGAGTGCGCGTACGATCCAAGTCATATAATAAACAGTCATAACAGGAGATTAAAGCAGACAGACAACAACAAAGACAAAACAAAGGCAATGTGGAAGAGTAAAATACATGTAGTTTAAAAACAGACTGTTATAGGAAAGCCATTCATTAAAGGTGGGCGACAGTGGCTCAGTTGGTAGAGCATTGGCCTTTGAACTTGAAGGTCGTGAGTTCGAGCCCACCGTGAGACCTTCTCCACCGACCCTACTGATGTCTGCTGTCGTTGTGTCCTTGGGCAAGACACTTAACCCACCTTTGCAGAGGCCATAGTAGCATTTGAAGGATGGGTCCAAGACACAGGGACTAATTTCAAAATGGCCGAAACAATAACAAACAATATGTGAGAATCTTTATTTGTCCCACAGTGGGGAAATTTCAATGTTGCAGCACACACACAGGAGACACGGGGAGCACACAAAATATACAAAATTAGGGTTAGGGTTAGCTGCTATGTTTCTTAGCTGGCTGTAAATGCTTCAATATCAATCTATCATTGTATATCTATCATCTAAATATACAGTGCAAAGTTAAATACATATAGAGCAGGGTAATAAGCAGATAAAGTGACATGGGCAAGACACTTAACCCCACTCAGCAGAGGCCATAGTAGCATTTGAAGGATGGGTCAAAGACAAAGAGATGAATTTCAAATATAACTGAACCTCATGAGCAATAGATTAGTTTGGACTTCTGCCGATCCAGAACCATTTTAAACTCCTGACACATCTTGTTTTCGTTGCAGCGTGCTGGACTCAGTGGTTTGACAGAGATGATCCCACCGGGACTGGAGACTGGGAGGTGCTTTTACTTCTAGCTTTCAATAACCCTGGGAAAATCTGCACGAAACCTATCGGGATCGAGGTCCAGACCATCACAGGCATACCGGCCGCCTCCACTGGAGAAATTTTCCACAAGTGAGTTTTCACAAGTGCAAAATATTGGTTTAAGACATCATTGTACAGATGGCCTCCACGTTTAAAGCTGGAATACCTCACTTTAAAACCAAACCAAGACAAGTTTTTTGTGTAGCACAGTTAATACACAAGGCAACTCAAAGTCCTGAACATAATAAGGCATTCCAATCATAAATGATCACAGTATTTAAAAAGAGTAAAGATCTGGATTTTGTATCGCCCTAAATCACAACAGCAGCTACCGTATCTCGGAGGAATTTGCAAAGTTGTTGATTTGCAGTCACAGATCAGAGAATCAATCAAATGCAAGAATTAAAAAAACACATAGAGCCATTGGTTCAAAAGAGGCAGATGACCATAGTCCATAAATGTTTAAGGTTCATAGGAAATTTCCCCCAGATTTTAGGAAAGAACCACCCTCTCTACTTTTTATTTTAATTTTATTTTTTTTACAAAACTCTCTGGTCTTCTTTGAATGATTGACAATTAGGAGGACCAATAGTCTTGATGATCCACCCGAAAGTAGAAAATCCTCCTATATACCTAAATATATACACATTAAGGTGTCCATAAATGTGGTTAAAGGTCCTGGATCATCACCACTGTCCTAGACCCTCCTCATCCAATCGTTCAATTCATTTCAGCAGATGACGGACCTCTTTATGATGTGTTTTTACAGATTGGATCCAGAGGCAGGATTCATCTGCAAAAACAAGCAGCAGGAGAACAAGCGTCAGTGCTCAGACTACCGCGTTCGCTTCAGGTGTCCTCACGAATTCTGCTATCCTCCAGGTAAGTTTCTCAATCCTCTGGGAAACTACCGCCACCTACTGCACCGGCTGGACTCTTAAGCTCACCTGTATACAAACCGCACCAGCTGAATTTGAAAATAATGTATTTTTTGTCCATGTATAGGCTGCACTGGAATATAAGACTTTTTAAACAAACATGATTTAAGGACAAGGTCTTTAATGCATTACCTTAAAGACCTTATGCCGGGTTTGATTTATTTAGAAATACAGTTTTAATACCATTTTATATTAGAAGAGAACTACTAAAGGTTTCAAAATCAGTTGTTTTTTTTGTCTGATCCCCCCAAATCGAAATAACCCCATAGCAACGCCCTTAGAAACGAAAAAACTTCACAGCCCTTGGTGACGTCAGAGTGGGTACGTTTCAACGCTGTAAGTTGTTTACAATTTGGTATTTGTTCTTTTTTCGCGGATATTCAAGATGACAAGGCCGTGTACAGAGAGTCTGACATAAATACTAGATTGTAACTCTTTGTTGTCACTGAGATAGTCCAGTGGTTGTGTCGATGCTCTGCCAATCCAGATACTGGGGTTCAAATCCCACCTCAGACACATTTTCACTCTCAAAACGGCTATTTATGTGTAGTGAGCAATTGTCACCAGTAGAGGGCAGTATTGTGTTGGGCATCAGTGGAGAGAAGAGAGAAAAGGCAGTCCTGTGGCATAGATCCATGGTTTTCAATGCATGGACGTAACCCGCTATGACGTCACACACAGGTTAGAGCATAGACAGCTTAAATTCATGAAAAACACGTTCTTTTTAGAAAATATAGGATTTTTTTTGCCGGAATCTATTTCAGATTGACATTGTCATGCAATTTTGATATCCACTATTTTTTTTTTTAAACCCGGCATAAGGTCTTTAACTGCATTATGGTCTTAGGGCGGCACGGTGGCTGAGTGGATAGCACTCTCGCCTCTCAGCAAGAAGGTCCTGGGTTCGAATCCCGGCCGGACCAGGGCCTTTCTGAGTGGAGTTTGCATGTTCTCCCCGTGTCTGCGTAGGTTTCCTCCGGGTACTCCGGTTTCCCCTACCACTAAAAATATGTACAATAGGTCTGGCATGCGCCTCCTGTTCGGCGACCCCGCTCCCATCTCTGTGTGGAGTGAGAGACAAGTGCCCAAAAAATAACAATTGTAAACCGCTTTGTGACTCTGGTCTGTGAAAGGCGGTATATAAATAAAGCTTACTTACTTACTTACTTACTTGGGTTCATCTCCATTTATTATTGCACATTCATAAATCACAATTTTATTCATCCCAGAAGACTTTACACAGATTTTGATTTTCTGATTTTATACTTTTTGTTCACTTTAAATTGAGGTATGCAAAATGATATCATTTTGTGACATGCAGAAAGCCCTGTAACCACAGTAGAGCACAAAACAAGAGAGGAGCTGTACAACATATATTGTGATTTTAAATAAAGGGGTTTGGCTCAAAAAGGAGTGTGGTGTCTTCTGTCTGGCAAATGGCAAAACAAATCTTGAATCTTGAATACATTCTCGAAGAAAACTTATGTACTCCCACCCCCTGTTGCTACATTCCTTCACTTAGCTTGGTTCCCGGAGTCTTTCTATATTTACATACATTCATCAAGATCATTCCACATGTTTACTCCATTAACTGTTTTTAGTATTGGTTCTGGAGTTTTGAAGAGAGATTGAACTTGTAGGGATCTTAATAAGCACAACACACATGTAAATCCTCTCGCTACTAAAACTTCATGGACTCCATAATCTCTGCTCTGACAACAGCCTCTCGACCACAAGAACAATACACACTTTGTCCCCATTGTTGTACACACTTCATTGCCATAAATGTCTTAAAAGACGGGTGTAAATGTGTTGCAGCCTGCTGGACTCGCTGGTTCGACAGAGATGACCCCTCTGGCTCTGGGGACTGGGAGACTCTGTTTGCTCTCCGTGCTGAGTTCCCAGGACAGATCTGTTCAAAACCTCTGGAGATCCAAGTGCTGACGACTAGCGGGAACAGTGTGGCATCCACCGGGAACGAGATCACGACGTAAGTTTGAGGGGCGGCTGTTGTGGAGGTTTCATACAGGTCCATGGCCATAGAGTTGTATTTGGTGTGGTGAAAAGTATGTAAAAAATGGCAAAAGTCCTCTCCCAACAATGGAATCCCACACCTACAGTTGAAAAGGTCTCTTATTGGCCATTGCCACAGGAACAAGCCCGTCCACAACCGATCTTCTGCAGATGGATTCAATCATTTGGGTCAATTGGGAGAGAGGGCGGAAGCAAAAGGGGTTCATGGGGAGTTGATAGCCAGGGGGTGTCAGGGTCTAAAGAAGGACACTAGCATCACCATCACAAGCTAAAGACACAGATCTTCTTAAACACAGTCCTGAATTATTTTCTTTAACCTCTTAAGCTCGCACGAGAAAAAACTAGAAAAAAAATACATCTGCTGGCAATAGCAGCAGATATAACAAGCTATATATCACTTTAAAGCTTATTTTCTCAGCTATATTTATATGTAAGTGTAAACGATATCAGACTTTGCATTAAAAATATATTACGCATAATATGGGCACAAAATAAATCGTGTTTGTATAAGTTTCTTACCTTTTGTCTTCTGCTGCTCCAACAAATTAGACTTTCCCCATCCTTGCTTAGTCTCTTTCTCTCCGTAAGTCTTCATTGGAAAAGAATATCCACTTGTATTTCCCAAAGTATAATCCATTCTTCAAAAATAATCCAAAAATGTGCATTTTTCTGTTGCAAAAAAAACCGCTCTCTTTCACATTTCACCAAGTTTGAGCTTTTTTTATCCACGTGTTCCTTGAGTCCTTAGCTTCAAAAAGAGAGGTTCCATGAAAAGATAGGAGCAGGTTTCAGTCCGCAGGACCCTCGTGAAAAAGACGAACCGCATCCATTTGCACAGAGTCCCTTTTTGCCTTGTTGTTGATTGACGTGTCTAAGTAGCCAATAAAAAGAGCTTTCTTTTGATGGGTGGGACTTGTAGGAACTCTTTTCATTTTCACAGTAAAAGCGTGCGTAAAGACGCTGTTAGTACTGCTGCGCATATTTTATATGCATTTACACTACTAAAAAAATAATTTTGAAAAAATTTAAACAAAAATCACACAGATTTGTAACTTATAAGAACCAAAACTAAAAAATATTCTTTTTATGATGGTGAAATGTTAGTAAAGCAGTTTGGCACAATTTGGCACACATTTTGTCAAATTGGTTCCGAATGGTACTACTTTATAAAAAAGAGAAACTGCATAAAAACTATAAAACTTAGAAGTCTGAAACTTTACACAGTTGTTGTCAACAACACAATGAACAAATTAGCGTTGAAAATTGTCTTCTTCCAATGAAGTAGGCTTTTTTAGGGCATTTATACATTTAATTTTTTAGGCGAGGCTAAAAAAAACTGTTTTTTTTCCCCAAACTTCAAAGGATGCAGAGTAAAATAGGAATGACATACATTATTTCAGTGTATATTTACATACACTAAAAGGCTCTAGCTTTAAAATGATGCATCACACAACCATGTGAGATGTAAGATGTGTTTTTAAATAAGCAAAGACATTTGGGTATGCCAAACTTTTGTGCACGAGCCAAAACAGATGTAGGAGTTTAAGAGGTTTTAAAATGGCCTCGTTCTGCTGGATCTGGAGTCCTGGATCTACTGCCTGTCCGTCCCTCTCTCTATATGGACCTCCCCAAAGATACTTACTTTTCTTGAGTGGTTCTTTGCAGATGCAGGAGGGTGTAAGGATATGGAGCTATTATTGTTTCAATAATATTTGTGTGTGCGTAAAAAGATTTGTGCGTGCGTAACCAGATTTGTGCGTGCGTAACCAGATTTGTGCGTGCGTAACCAGATTTGTGTGTGCGTAACCAGATTTGTGCGTGCGTAACCAGATTTGTGTGTGTGTAAAAGAAATATTTGTGCGTGTGTAAATAGATTTGTATGTACGTATCAAGATTTGTGTGTGCGTAAAAAGGTTTGTGTGTGCGTAGAAAGATTTGTGTGTGTGAAAAGAAAAAAAAAAGTAAGTTTTACACACAAGTTTTTTTTTTACACACGAATCTTTTGACGCAGTCCTGCCTTCGCAGATTCGCAAGTGTAACTTGGACTGTGTGCGTGCGTAAACAGATTTGTGTGTGTGTAATTTGACATTTGTATCTGTAACAGAACAATCTGTGTGTAAATAACCGCGTTGTACAAAGAGAAGAACGGGAAAAAGCCTAAGTGCTACGCACAGGCTCTGTTTTACACACAAATCTCTTTTTGACACACCTCTGCCGCCAAGCGTGTGTCAAAAAGATTTGTAAGTGTAATGTGGTTGTTCTAGCAGTACACCAGCAGATGGTGCTGTTGTAGCTGGTTATTACCTACACGCAAGCAAACCAACAAGTGTAGGTAGAGAAAACCGAAGGATTTAAGAAGAAGAAAAGTTCAGGATGACAAGGAACACTAAAATTCCCACAAAATCCGACCTTTATGAAAGCTGTAGGTTATCTGTCAGCTGTTTTAGTTTACTTTGAGTTCTATGGGGAAAATTTCTGTGTAGCCAACGTGAATTTAGTCTGCAGTACGTGAGAATCCTTCAGCTCCAAGCTAGTAACACCCTATCCAGTTATTATAATAGATCCATGTATCATACAGTGGTGTGAATGACAGGATTTTGAAAATAGGAAAAAAATATCATAAACAGCTGCGGTAGTGTGTCTTGTCAAGGCAGTAGGTTTTGGTTTGCTTGCGTGTAGGTAATAACCAGCTACAACAGCACCATCTGCTGGTGTACTGCTAGAACAACCACATTACACTTACAAATCTTTTTGACACACGCTTGGCGGCAGAGGTGTGTCAAAAAGAGATTCGTGTGTAAAACAGAGCCTGTGCGTAGCACTTAGGCTTTTTTCGTTCTTCTCTTTGTACAACGCGGTTATTTACACACAGATTGTTCTGCTACAGATACAAATGTCAAATTACACACACACAAATCTGTTTACGCACGCACACAGTCCAAGTTACACTTGCGAATCTGCGAAGGCAGGACTGCGTCAAAAGATTCGTGTGTAAAAAAAAAACTTGTGTGTAAAACGTACTTTTTTTTTTCTTTACACACACACAAATCTTTCTACGCACACACAAATCTTTTTACGCACACACAAATCTTTTTACGCACACACAAATCTTGATACGTACATACAAATCTATTTACACATGCACAAATATTTCTTTTACACACACACAAATCTGGTTACGCACGCACAAATCTGGTTACGCACACACAAATCTGGGTACGCACACACAAATCTGGTTACGCGCGCACAAATCTTTTTACGCACACACAAATATTATTGAAACAATAATAGCTCCATATAAGGACAGTGATGATCCAGGACATTTACCTGTTTGATTCTCTGATCTGTTGTTGGGGAATAGATACATTTGTAAAGTCCTCCGAGACGACTGCTGTTGTGAAATAGGGCCATACACATTTAAATCAAATTAAATTGAAAACAGACCCTTATAGTCTTCTCCTGAATTACAAAGAACCATTTTTTAAACTTTACTAATGGTTGCATACGTTTTCCCTTCTCACCGCAAACCCCTACTCTTCTGCCAAAATGATTCTCTTTCAAACTTCTTAAGAATCCTATGACACCTCTTCTCTCTTCACCACTGCATCCGTCCACTCACTTTTGTTTCATTTCCAGGAATAATGTTGATGTTGGATTTCTCTGTGAGAACGATAAACAGAAAAAGGGGAAATGTGCAGACTTCAAAGTCCGCTTCAGGTGCCCACCCGAGTTCTGCAAAGACAAAAGTAAGTGCTGTAACAAGACTGGCCACTAGGGGGAAACTTTATTGGCTGAGTCTTTAGCCCTGTTTCCACCAGCCCTACCCGGTTCTACTCTACTCTGCTCCCATGTACTCTTCCCATTCTCTACTCTACCCTCCCTCTTGGTCCAGGTTCAATCCAGACCGAGCTGGTACTAAAGTGTTTTAACTGACAGTGACTGGCCAGAGTACCGGTAACCAATGAACTTCCTTCTATACTGAATTGTTGTATGGTATGTCGCTAGGATACAGTGCCAGAAATTAAAGCGTACCACACTAAAGCCTAAAGTATTGGATCAGTAGCGTATATGAGTCGTTTTTTTATTGTAATTGAGAAATGATTTCATATTCAAAAACATGAAATGCCAAAAATAAATTTGGCGGTCTCTTCCTGGTGTCAGAACTTGTGTCTTTTCATAGTTTGCTGGACCAGCTGGTACGATCGAGATGACCCATCGGGCACCGGGGACTGGGAGCTTCTGACCAACCTGAGGAAAGAAAACCCCAACCAGATCTGTGACACCCCTCTGTACATCGACGTGAGAACGGTGGACACCAACCAACCCATCACCCAGACGGGACAGCAGCACCACATGTGAGAGACACTTTCAGTCACACAAACATCTAAAGCCCGGCCTTATCCATCCGTACACTCCGTTCAATCATCATTTCACTGCATGTAACTAGGGTCTAGTCCCTATGTTAGCGATTACAATCGGTTGAATTTTGACCGACCATTCAGAGAGAGCGGAAGGCAGGAGTTGTAGTTAGTTGTGGGTGATGTCAAGAGTTTGCGTCGAACAGGCAGGTTGTATTTTGGCAATGGCGATAGTAAAGTAATCCAGTCTGGTTCTATCAAGAAATTGAAGCCGGAGCAAGAGGAATGTTTAGCAAATATAATCGCTGAAAAAAATTGTGGTGCTACTCCCCACGGGAGATGGCTGGGCTTAATGCTAATGCTAACAACCGACTCAGGCGCACTACAAACGTCACGGTAAACTCAGATCCAATGGTTTCAATCTCAAAAGGAGTTAACCCCTCCCCCCTGTTAACGGAGTCAATGGAGCAAATCCAGACCTTAGTATGAAATGTCATTTGTACTATGGTGTGGTACGACCAGGCTAAAGCTACCCTCGGCTTTCTCAGACTAAAGTGGTTAATGACAAACAGGTGACGATTCGATAGTATTGCAGTATTTGGGCCACAATTCAATAATATTCAGATTCTCAACATATTGCAATGTAGAAAGTATTGTGATATATTGCAATTCATGTCTCCCATATTATGGTCTATTATGATCCACATTAACTGAGGAGGGTAGTGTAAAAAACGTTTTCCTTGAACATTCAGGACACAGAACCTTATTTCAGACAAGACTGAAGGGGCGACCCGATGCCTTAACGTGGAAGAGGTTGATTTTAACATAAGCTAGCTTTAGCCAATTTCCGGATGTGGACATTTGGTCTGATGGGACTAGCTTTGCACGGTAAGGGGCAGATGTGTTGCTACTATGGTTGTTAGGCAAGCTAGAGTCTCCCCATTGAATAAAGGCATCTGATTGGTCAGTCTGGATTTACACAGACATTATCACAATATAAACACCAGAGTCACAGAGAGCGCTAAACCTTGTTTTTTTTAAAGCATGTAACACAAAAGGTTCCTGATCTACACAATACAATACAATTTATTCTTGTATTTCCCTAAATCACAACAGTATCATCTCAGAGACTTAACAAAACCATTGAAATCACCAACACAGATCAGAGAATCAACAGTTAAAACACATAAAGAATATAGAACACATGTTGATAAATGTCACACATGTTGTAGAATGTTAAAGTGTCCTGGATCATCACTACATCCTTTCTGTTGGACACTAAATGCCCAACAGACTCCTGCATCAGAGGAAAAACTCAGCTGAAGTTTACTTTTCAGTAAGTCGATAGAATCCTGAGCGAACCTCATCTATGAGCACTTCCCCTCCCTACCACATTGAACTAGCGAGTTAGCACTGTCCTTCTATATAAACTCATATTTCTTTCTCTCTGTCTGCAGCTACAGCCCGACTGAAGGGTTCGTGTGTCGAAATGATGGCCAGAAAGGATGCAAGTGTTACGACTACAAAGTGCGCTTCGGCTGCCCCTGTAACTGCACGGAGCACCTGGAGGATGCCCTGCTCGAGCAGCTCGAACAGCTGCACATCAGATAACTTCTGTCCTCCCATTATTGATAAAGATGTCTTGGCCTTTGTCTTGAGATAATCAAACCCAATGCAATGTTTTTAGTGAAATTGTGTGAACGGTGCTAATAAAAAGTTTTGCTATGACTTGTTTGACTGCAGAGTAATGCACTTACAGGGGAAACTCAAAAAACTAGAGTATTGTTTAAAAGTACTACAGATGTACTATGGATAGAAAGTAGCATGGTGCTTAACCTGGTGCAGCCATCTTTTTAGATAACTGCACATTGTCCTTAATAAACTACACAAATCTTGGTCGTTCGACTTACAATGTGAAACAAAAAAATCTCACAGACAAGACAAAAGTTAAATATTTCAAGATTTTATTTGTTATAATGTGCTAAAACCGTAGACTATAAATATAAACGGACGTTGCGACGCCTATTTCCTCAGTTGAAATGTATGTGCCACGGACGTGGGAAGATTAAAAATGGCCGCAGGTAGCCCCTCCCACAGGAAGAGGTGAAAAAACTAATTTCCGCATGTGTTGGCCGGCACGAGTCCCATTCATGTAACGAGTTCATCCAAAAGTCCACAGCGGCTAAACTAGACTGGTCCAAAAAATCATACTCCCCTCAGCATCGTCAGGATCTGGAACCAAGAGCGGCTCTTGGTCCATCCTGTAAAGACGGTTTTGAGAAGAAAGACGACGCCTTACAAAATCATTGGAAAATTCTCTTTCCGGGTACAGAAATCATGGCAGCATTGATTAAAACAGCTCAGAAAAGTATAACATTTAGAAAACGGGTCCTGGGTTCGATTCCACCTCCAGAATTTTCTGTGTACCGTTTGCATGTTCTCCCTATGTCTGCATCACTAAACTTGTATGAAAGAGAAAGCTCAATGATAAACAAACAGTGACTGGTGACTAGTGTGTAGTGACTTAAACACAATTATACCAAACTTAAACCCATAAAAACTAAAATGCTGAACCCCCTGGGGCCTGAAGGCCCTACCTGTACTGCCCACATTTATCCTCTAGGGGCCACAAACCACTAGTTAATCTACAAATGATCAAAATGACTAAAAATAAAAATCAGAATTATTTTTTTATTACCATTGTGAGCAACAATAAGTCACAAACCAGGAGGAAATTGCTTTGGCTCTCGGTGCAAACAAGTTAAAGATGCAGTCAGTGATTTTTTCCAGATGCATATTGATTTATATTGTGGGAAAACGTCCCTAAACCCTAAAAGTATCAAGTTATCATGTGTTTTCAAATGGTAAGGGAATTGACCAGATGCCTATAGTCTCTGAAAATTAATAAATAATATTTTGGAGCGGACCGATAAAAATAAAAATAAACCAATGGGAATCGTTCATCCCCAACAAACCAATGGGATGTGTTTACCGCCTTTACCCTCTTCCTGTTTTTCGAGAGTGCGCGCACCTGAGTTGGATTTTCTAAACATGACTGCATTTTGTGATAATCGCGGAGGACATCTGAGATCTTGCCGTGCATTCACAAGGTAATTTTCACTGACATCACACATAACGGCCACACGTACCATGAGGAAAACACACATGTGGATTTGACTGCTTTACCGCACTTTTTGTACGGACTACCTGTGAACGCCCCAAATACTAACATATGCACGAGCCATCAAACAGTAACGTGCTGCAGCAGTGCTCAGTCTGTACTGAGTAGGACAGAATGCAGAATAAACGTAAAAACACAGCCCATCGGTCTGACCATTTAGTGTCAGTGAACACTTTACACCGTCCTCTTCACTTCTCCATAGACCTCACAGAGACAACAGCAGCCGCGACTCTGCAGCTGTGTACACAGCCGCAATACGCGACTCCTCTGCTCATCAGGAGAATGTGACATGTTCATCTAATGACAGATGTTGTCACGTGTGGATGTGCGTTCACGTGTGCCGTTTGTTTTGGTTTGGTGGAGAGGCGAGGGGAGGGGGGAGTGGTTTTGCGTTGGTGCTACGGCTAAGCTAGCAAAATCACTTACTGCATCTTTAAAAGGTAAAAATGAACTAAATATAGTACGTGGCAGCGGTGAGTGCGGTGACTCGGAGCATGCAGCAAACACAGAAGACAAACACTGTTCAAGCATCAATGCACCGCTGAGTGTTTGTGGAGTGTGAGCAGATGCTGCAGGTGTCGGCGAATCTCTTTGGTGCGGAGGCCAAAGGTCAGGGAGTTGGTGGTGCTGGGGACGAACAGGTATAGGGTGCTGCCGAGCAGACGTGCCGCCCGAGGCAGGTGGTTGTCGACGCGGTGCGAGATAAAGACGACCAGCAACACAGTCAGAGAGACTGACATGACGATCACGTGCGTCACCATGGTGTTCGCCGCCTTGGCAACGCTGCGGCCGCTCAGAGCCGTCACCATGACAACCACGTATGATGCAGAAATGAGGATGAAGTCCAGGACCGGGATCAGGCCAATGGTGAGAAGCCCCACCACCGAGTGCAGAGCCGAGTCCCCACACACCAGCTTCACCACCGCCATGTGCTCGCAGAAGCAGTTCAGGACCACGGAGCCACAGAAGGTTCTCTGGCTCAGCAGCAGAACCAGCACCGAGATCAGAGACACGTTCCTCAGCACCAGAGGAGCTCCCACCACCATCAACACCTTCACAGACAGACTGGTGCTGTAGCGCAGAGGGCACATCACAGCCAGGCAGCGGTCCAGGGCCATCCACAGCAGGATGGTGGACTGGAAGGCTCCCAAGAGGTGGACCACGAACATCTGCAGCAGACAGGAGCTCAGAGACACCTGGTTCCAGCCGCTGAGGAAACCCACCAGGAACGGAGACATGACCAGGAGAGGCAGGGCCCCATCCACACATGCCATACCAGCGATCAGAAGGTACATGGGGGAGTGGAGAGTCCGCTGCCGGGCGACCACTAGCACCAGCAGGAAGTTAGCCCCCAGGGACAGGAAGTAGAACAGAGAGAAGGGCAGGAAGAGCAGAGGACGCAGCCCGCCCAGCTCCACAAAACAGCTGAACTCAAAGACTATGTGGGATGTGGTGTTCGCCATGGCAACGGTCAGCAGGGGGCGCTCTAAGGCAGCTGAAACTCTCACGAACCACTTAGGGTACAACCTTTAACATTTACATTTCAGACAATGTGGTTCCATAAAGATGATCTGTAGAACTGAAAGTATAAAAGTTCATATTAGTAAGTAAGTAAGTAAGCTTTATTTATATACCGCCTTTCACAGACCAGAGTCACAAAGCGGTTTACAATTGTTATTTTTTGGGCACTTGTCCTCTCACTCCACAGAGAGATGGGAGCGGGGTCGCCGAACAGGAGGCGCATGCACAGTCCTATTGTACATATTTTTAGTGGTAGGGGAAACCGGAGTACCCGGAGGAAACCTACGCAGACACGGGGAGAACATGCAAACTCCACTCAGAAAGGCCCTGGTCCGGCCGGGATTTGAACCCAGGACCTTCTTGCTGAGAGGCGAGAGTGCTATCCACTCAGCCACTGTGTAGAGTCTTATCTGGAAACAAATAACAGCCTGAACAAAGCTTCATGCAAATGTAAGATAAGATGATATAAACTTCATTCATCTCAATATACAGTGGTCACTGGTTTATCGCGGGGGTGATGTGTTCTAAAAATGACCTGTAATAAAATCATCTGTGAATTGGCAGATGAGCATTTTAAGGCTGTAAAATCCCTCACACACACTTTTCTAACACCTGAACTCACAACTGCTGAAGTGAGAGACCAGAGATATCAAACCTGTTGGTTGCCGGTCTGAGCGCTGCTGCAGCTGTTTAAAGCCGTACATTCACTGTACACACCAAAGAGAGACCAGCAAGAGACAAAAGAGACTAGAGAAAGACCAGAGAGAGACCAGAGAAAGAGCAGAGAGAGACTAGAGAAAGACCAGAGAGAGACTAGAGAAAGACCAGAGAGAGACCAGAGAAAGAGCAGAGAGAGACTAGAGAAAGACCAGAGAAAGACCAGAGAGAGGGAGACTAGAGATAGACCAGAGGGAAAGAGACCAGAAAGCTTCTCTCTCTCCCAGAGACCAGGAAATAGAATGTGGCAGAGGTCAAACATACATCTTAAAACTATAGAACCAAACTGTTCTAAGCTTGTTGGATTGATTTTTTTTCCCCAGCTCAAAGCAATCGTTAAGTCTGAATAAATACATTTTAGTTCAGAGCGTCCAGGGCCGTGTGTGGTCAGTCTACCTCATACAAACTTAAAACAACACCAAATATGTGATAAAAAACAGTGTTACCTCAAGGACATACTGGCAGCTTATCAGAGAGACAAGAATAGTTTATCATTCCCCGACAGCAGAATCTACATCGAGCCTTTTTGCTTTGCTTTCACCGTCTTATAAACATTCTTGAAAATCTACTTCAGCTCCCAGTCTGGTGAACAAACATCAGCAGAACATTTGGCCCTCGACATTAAACTAGTTGCAAGCATTGGTCACAGATTATTATCAGTCTTTTCTAACCCAAAACGCACTTGGTAAAAGTTGGATAAAGACACATGCTTTTAGTTCAATGCAAATGAGAGATTTACACAACTTTGCACTGAGAATAGTGAACAAACTAGTGTGAAATTATATTAATAAATAATATGACAATAAATACATAGCCACAAATGGGTCTTTCCACTAAGAATATGATGGATATTTGGGTAAAAAAGTGCAAAACTCAGTCCTGTTCAATTTGCTTCTTCTCAAAACAAGAATAAGAAATGTTGAGTCCCTTTCACTCAGACTAAGCATCACTAAATCTATAGAAAGACTGTGAGGGCTTTTTCCAATAAAATAGTAAATTGTTTTTGCTCTATTCTAAAGGACACTTAGCCAAATGATCATTGAGCTTTCTAAGGGAGACAGTGAGATGTCTAAAATCTGCAGATTTGCCAATCCCCCATGGTTTTTCAGATAGTATTGCTTCTATTAAAACTGCATTTCCTGTATTTTTGGTAAATCCACAAATTCAGTCATAAAAAAATCAAAATCATCCATAACTTAGACAAAGCATTTCCTTCAGAGCACGGTCTTACTCCATCTCGTAATGTTATTATCAAAAGTCAGAAAGAAATAGTAAAAATCTTGTTATTAGCAATTGTCTTTTTGCGGTTCCTTTCCAGCATTTCTGTCACGTTCTCACAATGAATCAGGAGAATGTGGTTTTATATGGTCTGTCGGACGCTCTGATTGGCTGAGAGCTGCGGCGCTGGATTGAATAGGATTTTATTGATCGATAAATAGATTCTAAAACATGGAATGAAAAGGTGAAAAACTTTCATTCTCATTCTTAGTGGCCGAAAATAGTAATAAAGTTATTGCTTTTATACAGAGCTTTTTAGACACGCAAAGATGCTTCACTTTTTGTTATTCATTCACTCCAATACACAGTGGTAATAAACTACTACTGTAGCCACAGCTGCCCTGGGGCACATTGAGAAAAGTGAGGCAACCAGTATATACCATCGGGCCCTCGCACTTTTACACTGTGGCTATAGGTGTTCCCAGAGGTCTCCCATCACAATCCTAACCAGGCCCTGCCCTGATGATTTGAGAATCTTAACAAGACCTTTTTTAGTTCTGCGGCCACATGTTACTGTACCAGTGAGATTAACTCAACGTGATGAGTTCTGGCGCCCGGATCGGGTGGAGGGCGGGACATCAAAATGAAAACAATAACAAGATTTAGGGGCAGTAAAAGTAATTTTAAAATCCAAATATATCAGCTAAACTACTATTATCAGTTAAAGAAGTACGTGAAAAGAGCATATTTTGTTATTGCCTTTTGACAGATTAGGGAAACAGAGCCCCCGACTGCTCATTCAACACCTCACCCCTCAGCGCCCCCCACTGTAAATAGCTCCAGACGAGATCAGAAGACAGATCTCTGGGCTGCATCCCCAAAGTGCTGCCAATCCAGACGGAATCTCACCCGCCACCCTGAGGCCCTGTGCCCAGTCCTCACTTCAACACGCCGTCGGAGTCTTGCCATGTCCCACCGGCTTCAAATCCTCACTGTCCCCGTCCCCAATCGCCTCTCGTCTCCATCTTTTGTATTTATGTTCTCCTGTTCCTACTCATTTTGCCTTGTCCCAGTTCAGTATGTGATTTTCCTTTTGTAATAGTTTGATATTGCGATGGTTAGATTTTAGTGCAGCCCTACCAGTTTTACTCTGCTAATGTGAAATCACCACACAAACAACATTCAACAACATTTATGGACATTAGTCTCTGCTCCTTATGGACTCATGGTGTGTTGGTCCATAAATGTGTTTTTTGTTTGTTATCATTGCATTTCCTGTTTGATTTTCTGATTTGTGCTGACGAATCGACAGCTTTGAAAAGTCCTTCGAGATAACTACTGTTGTGATCTAGGGCGATACACTACAAAAGTGATGAAAAACAAACCAATAATGCTCAATTTTGGCAAAATGCATCTTGATTTAAGCACATTCTGACTGAGCCTTGAAACTAGATTTGCCAATGATCTTGTTTTAAAGATATGCAAGAAATTTCCTCCTTTGAATTAGAAAATACAGCAACATTTCCTGAAATAAGACTAGCTTTGTCCCATCGGAGAATCTAGTTTTAACACCGTCAGAGTGGATAGTGTTGTCAAAAATACCCTTGACAGACGTGTTCAAAGTTGATGCAGAAGTAAGACAAAGATGCAAGAGTTAAAAATAGAACATTTAATTCTCTTTACAATTAAATATCGATACAAAACTCTTGGAGCCATTCATTCTCTAAAACTAACCCTATGCTGAGCCATTCTAACCTTTCCCTCCAGGCCTGAATATGTGCAGAGAACATGCAGGCGCTCTGCCATGTTCTCTGTCTATCTATCCCTGCTCAGACTGCCCAAAATGTCCTAACCCCAGTTTTATCAACATGTCCGATGACGTCACATGGTCTGAGACTGGTCTGGATTTTGGTCTTGGTTTTGGTCTTCCATATCAGTCTTAGCAAACAATGCCCCCACCTCTGCGGCGCCTGATTGTGTTGGACTTTGCTCTCTTCAAAAGTGGGAGAGAACCCTGTTTATACTTGGAGTCAATAATTGTCTGGTTTTGTAAGCTGGTCCTCTTTATGCAGTATTCCCGTACTATCTTGTGTCCTTGGGGTTTTTCCTGAGTGCACAGGTCTTTTTTGGCTATGATGATATCATCGTTGGCTTCTAGGACTCTGCCGGCTTCTGTTGTGAGCTTTAAAATACTGTCTCCGAGTTCCTCTTCGGACATCATGGTGTGCATACGTAGAACTCCATTGGCCAGGCGGGAAAACTGACGCTTTACGGACGTTCTGGCAGATTTAAGCTGATCTAGGTCTACCGATTCGGCCATCTCTGGGTTGGGAGCTAGTTTCTTTTGTCTCTCTGGACACGTTTGGGTCACGCTGGTCACTCTACTTTAGTGTTTTTTCCAGTCTTCAGACCACGGTTTTTCACTGTCAAGTTATTTGGTGATATGTTTGTGCAAATTCCCCACTTGAAAGGGATAAGCCCTCCACATATGAGTTTGAACTGGATTTCACTCAATGATCAGCCATGGTTCTTGATTCATGCCATTTATTTGGCTTGGTTTCAGCTTTAGGTTCAGGTGAAAAACCTCAAAAGGAGAACAGAAACATACAGTCATTTTCCTATGCAAATAAACCGTCTTCTAATTGCACTTTCAACAAATAATGTTCCTGCTAGTAACCAAAATAGTATCTTATTTTAAATAATATTTACCCCCAAATGAATTAATCTATATTTTAACCTGGTTTTAGCACATTTTTAAAGTAATATATTTCAACATTTTAACACTAAGTACTTGATTTTTACATTTTATCACTAAGTGATTGATTTTTACATGATTGCGAACTGCGTTTTCCAAACATGATCCGTATACATGAAACATTCAGTTTTTTCAAACTTAACATTCTTCATAATCTTTACATAAAGGCGAATATAAGGCAAATTTTGTTAATTAGTAGTGAACATAATATTAACGAACACAGACTAGTTAACCCGCATTCCTTCCTGGAGTTAGCTTTTGTTTTGTCTAACAACAGTACATTTTATAAACAACAATCAAACAAAGTAACTGTTTTTTGAGTCCGTGTTTCCTCTCCTCCCAAGGGCTCTTGAACGCGTCGCCGCGTAAGTTCAAGCGATCGCAAATGAGGAACGGCGCTTACCGGCTGTCTCTCATGGGGTTGTGAGAGGGTTACTCTTGCACAGTTTTTGTCTTTATTGTTGTCTTTTTGCGCTGCTTGGGCGCTGAGATCGCTTGTCCCACTCGAACTCACACACAGAAGTGTCCGTGTCCGTCCCTTTTAACCACCCCGGGTGGATGCAGATCACGCAGGTGAGCCGTTCCACCCACCATTTCCCTCCGGTAAGGAGGGGGAGCGGGACTACAACGCAGTTCGCCAGCACAAGAATCTTAAAATCAACCCTGAAAGTAACAGGGAGCCAGTGAAGTGAGGCCAGCACGGGGGTGATGTGCTCTCTCTTACGTGTCCCTGTGAGTAAGCGAGCAGCAGCATTCTGCACCTGCTGAGGCTGTAGATCCAGGACTGAGACTGTAGACCCAGGACTGAGGCTGTAGATCCAGGACTGAGACTGTAGACCCAGGACTGAGGCTGTAGATCCAGGACTGAGGCTGTAGATCCAGGACTGAGACTGTAGACCCAGGACTGAGGCTGTAGATCCAGGACTGAGGCTGTAGATCCAGGACTGAGACTGTAGACCCAGGACTGAGGCTGTAGATCCAGGACTGAGGCTGTAGATCCAGGACTGAGGCTGTAGACCCAGGACTCCAGGACCGAGGCTGTAACTCCACAACCAGGACTTTGACCAATCATATTCGACCATAACCAGTATTTGTTGGTGTTTTGGACAAAGCTAAACATCCTGATGTTCCTCTGCAGCATGGACACAGTCACTGGTTTTGTCTGTAAGAGGTCTGACCAGGACGACTCAGAGTGTGAGGACTATAAGGTGCGCTTCCTGTGCCCTGAGGAGTTCTGCCAGCCCCAAGGTCAGAGCTCAACATAATCACAATAATCATAATGTATCAGATGTATACAGTGCTTTTCTAGACTCTCAAAGACGCTTCACATGTCATTATTCATTCACTAAAAACGCTGTGGTGATAAACTACTACTGTAGCCAAAGCTGCCCTGGGGCACACTGACAGAAGCGAGGAAACCAGTCTGTGTCATTGGCCTCTCCCACACACACCAGACTCATTCCAATGTGGGGGAAGTGTGAAGTCAAAGTATATATTGTCAAACAAACCAAAATGGAGGTAGAACGTGCAGTTAAAGCAAGGCGGCCCAGGAATGTTCTTGCCTGACTGACCACAGCCACCTCCTTACAGAGAGGGAGACAGAGAGAGAGCGACAGAGAGAGAGAGAGACCAGAGAAAAAAAGAGAGAGAGAGAGAGAGAGAGATGGAGACAGAGGCAGAGCGAGACAGAGAGAGAGAGAGAGAGACATAGGCAGAGACAGAGAGAGAGAGAGGGAGAGGGAGAGAGACCAGAGAGAGCAGAGAGAAAGAGAGAGACAGAGAGAGAGAAAGAGATAGTTTATAAGTTACGCCCCCCAGTTTTAAAATGCCACATTCTAAATCATAACACAGGTAAAGTAACTATTCTCTTGTTATGTTTAAGGCACAAAAACACCACAATATTTTTCCTTTGATGAAACCTAGTTCTCACTTCTTTGCAGACGATTCGGACTCGGGTGACGGCGCCCCTAGTGGACACATGTGTAAAAACATCAGGATGTGCGTTCCCATCGAGAGCGAGTGTAACTGGCAAGGTATCAGCATCGAACTTGAACCCTAAGAGCCTCCATTTTGACTTCTTAATTTCTAAATAGTGAAAAGTGGAAGAGGCTCTATGTAAAGTGGAGAAATTATAAGGATGGACCAAAAGTAGGAATTAAATGTACCCATCTAATTTGCATTTTGTGACTTCATGTATCTCTCTGGTCTCTCTCTGGTTTCTCTGGTCTCTCTCTGGTCTATCTCTGATCTCTCACTAGTTTCTCCCTCTATCCTTTCTAGTCTCTCTCTGGTTCACTTCGTAATGTTTTCTGATGTGTGGGATACTTTATGATTGCCTTTATTGGAGACATATAAAAGAACAATCGGAGGTGGTAGACTTTACTTTCTCTGTCATTGCTAAAACAGTAACATTTGTGTCTTTGAAATTAAATAACTTTGCTTCTGCACCGCTGACTCTGCGTCTATTATTATATTTTATTTTTTTCTTGTATAATATTGTACCTTTTTTAAGCCTCAATCAATAAAGCACCGTTATGTAGTCTTAATATTTTTGAAACGTTTTCTCCTCCATGGGCCGCCATCTTAATGTAAGCCAGGCCTGGGGACAGTGGAAAGACCGGGTCAGAAGTCCTGGTTCAGGCCGTGGTCTCTGCTCTGGTAAAACTCAAAAGTACAGTTTCTACACATCAAGTCATTAAACATTTTCTCTCTTGAAGTCTTAAAAAATTGATTGCTAAACTATTACTTAAACATTTGATTTGTTTGATATTTAAAACAGAAAACTGAGACATGTTACTTCTCCCTCTGGTGGTAGCAGAGGGGTAATGCAGTTCTAAAACATGAAATGACAAAGTAACGAGGCTCATTATCATTTTTAATAGTCAAAAATATTGCACAATATTTATTGTTTATGGTTTGAGGACCTAGAAAGAGACCAGAGAGAGACCGAAGAGATGGAGAGACCAGAGAGAGAGAGACCAGAGAGAGATCAGAGAGAAAGAGACTAGAGAGGGAGACCAGAGTGGGAGAGAGACAAGAGAGAGAAAGAGATAAACCAGAGAGACAGACCAGAGACAGAGACCAGAGCAAGAGAGAGAGACCAGAGAGAGAACAGAGAGAGAGAGGCCCAGAAAGAGAGAGACCCCAGATAGGTTACAGCCTCAGTGGGCGGGGTCAGTCCATGGACACACGTTGACAGCAGAGACTTTACGTTTCTTTCTCCAAACGTCCTGAATCCGCCCAAACACTCGACCGAAGCCGTGTCTGATCTCGACCGTCCGCACGCCGTACACCACCGGGTTGAAGGCGGCGGGCAGCAGGATGTAGATCAGACCCATGGCGGCGTTCAGGTCCGAGTTCAGGCCCAGACGAAGAGTGTCGGACAGAAAGGCCACGGTCCCCACCAGGTAGAAGACCAGCAGAACCATGAGGTGAGTGCCGCAGGTGTGCAGGGCCTTCCATCGGTCCTCCCGGGCTCTGTGGACCACGGCCAGGATCCGGAAGTAGGACAGGACAATGACGGGGATGTCCAGGCCCACAAAGCAGACGATGACGGCCACGCCTGCCCCGCGGCTGGGCCTGGTGTCGCCGCAGGCCAGCCTCACCAGCGCCATGTGGTCGCAGTAGACGTGCTCAATGACCCGGCTGTCGCAGAAGTCCAGGGAGCCGGCCAGGGCCACCAGCACCGCCATGACCGAGCCGCTCCGAAGCAGAGTGAAGAGAGAGAGGACCAGGAAGGACGAGTGGGACACCAGCTTTCTGAAGGAGACATGAGGGAGGGGGGAGGGGCGAGACTGAGTGTACTGAGGGACAAGATATGGGAGCAATGAGAACTTCACAATGCACTCAACTTCGACCAGGTTTGCATTCAAAATGAACGGTGGCGCCAAGAGGTCAGGCGTCACTTGCCGAGGATCAAAAGCATTGCTTTGAGAGCTTTGGAGCGTTGACGTTCGCGTCACTTTTCTGCGTCAAAATCCCTTGACGGCAAAGTTGAGAAAAGCTGAGCCGTGCTTAACTTGAGCCTCCAAAGTTGGACCCGGCACCTCTACACGCGATCGAAACATGTCAACATGGAGCTCTAGGTTGTGACACACAATTGTTGATTCAATACTCATTCTTTGGCATAGTCTTCTCGCGGTTTGTAAAAATAAATAAAATGGCCTATAATTAATTTGGTGTAATGAGTTTAATCAAAATGTGACACAATATAATGTGAATAAATATAAATTTAATGAAGTTCCTTTCATTATTGTTGAATAATAAATGAATTCATTATTGCCAGAGCAAATCACAGCTGAATGACAACAACATCATCAGTTCCAGAGCAGTATGAAGCAGTATGAAGCATTATTATATGAATTGGATCGTACGCGCCCTCTGATTGGCTGATTACCGGTTTGATATTTTTCCATCTCGGACCGTTACCGTGACAATTGGTCCGAACAGCGCGTATCACATTTGATATCTTTAAACGGACCGTTACCATGACAATCGGTCCACAGACCGTGTCACACAAAACCAAGTCGGACATGAACATACTTCACAAATATCTCAAAAGCATTGGTAAAGACACAGACGAGACTCATATAATAAAACATTTATTAACCTCGCTTGCTCGCTTGGTTAATAAGCAGTTTGAAGCAGTTTGAAGCAGTTTGAAGCAGTATGAAGCAGTTTGAAGCAGTATGAAGCAGTTTGAAGCAGTTTGAAGCAGTTTGAAGCAGTATGAAGCAGTTTGAAGCAGTATGACGCAGTTTGGAGCAGTTTGAAGCAGTATGAAGCAGTATGAAGCAGTATGAAGCAGTATGAAGCAGTTTGAAGCAGTATGAAGCAGTTTGAAGCAGTTTGAAGCAGTATGAAGCAGTATGAAGCAGTTTGAAGCAGTAGGAAGCAGTCTGAAGCAGTATGAAGCAGTTTGAAGCAGTTTGAAGCAGTATGAAGCAGTAAGCAGTATGAAGCAGTAAGCAGTATGAAGCAGTAAGCAGTATGAAGCAGTTTGAAGCAGTTTGAAGCAGTATGAAGCAGTATGAAGCAGTTTGAAGCAGTATGAAGCAGTATGAAGCAGTAAGCAGTATGAAGCAGTATGAAGCACCTGTACTTGAGCGGGTGGCAGATGGCGGTGTAGCGGTCCAGCGCCATGGCGAGGAGCACGGTGGACTCCAGCGACGACAGGAAGTGGGTGAGAAACATCTGTGTGAGGCACTGTCCCAGCGTCACATGGTACGCGGGCTGCAGCAGCACCAGCAGAGCGCTCGGGACGATGACCGTGGCTGAGAGGAGGTCCACCACGCACAGCGCCCCCACCAGGACGTACATGGGACTCCACAGAGCCTCCACCCGCACCAGCACCAGCAGCAGGCAGCCGTTCGCCACCAGGACCAGCAAGAAGACCAGGACCAGTGGGAGGGCGATGAGCCCGCGCTGCCACAAGGGGAGCGGGAACGCCAGGAACAGGAAGTCCGACTGGTTCATGGCAAGTCAGGAGCCCAGCAGGGGGCGCCACATCCTGGTTTCAAGATGTTCAGGAGCTGGTTCGGGAATGTACAAGAAACAATCAAATAAATGTATGGTTCTATTGGATCCATTACCGTGGTAATAGAGTTATTTGAATAGCTTAAAATTTAGCTACTGTAGCCACGGCTGCCCTGGGGCACACTGACAGAAGCGAAGCAACTTGTATAATTTATCGGCCCCTGAGAGAGACCAGAGAGAGAGACCAGAGGGAGGCAAGAGAGAGACCAAAGAGAGGCAAGATAGAGACCAGAGAGATACTAGAGAGACCAGAGAGAGAGACCACAGAGAGAGACCAGAGAGAGAGACCAAAGAGAGACCAGAGAGAAACTAGAGAGACCACAGAGAGAGACCACAGAGAGAGACCAGAGAGAGAGACCAGAGAGAGACCAGAGAGAGAGACCACGGAGAGAGACCAGAGAGAGACTAGAGAGACCAGAGAGAGAGAGACCACAGAGAGAGACCAGAGAGAGAGACCAGAGAGAGAGGCCAGTAAGAAACCTGAGACCAGAGCGAGGGACCAGAGAGAGAGAGAGACCAGAGGGAGAGAAAGACCAGAGAGAGAGAGAGTGAGAGACCAGAGAGACCAGAGAGAAAGTCCAGAGGGAGACCATTAAGAGATACAAACAAATAAGAAAATAATTTACAGTAAAAGAGTTCAAATAATAATGGTTTCTGAGTCTCACCTGCGTGTGGGCATCTGTCTCCTCTGGTACCATGTCACTGGTGTCTCCTCTGGTTTCCCTCAAAGTTCTTGTCTCAGTTGTATTTGAACTCTTGTCTGCAAAGTCCAGCGGGAGAATGCTACTCTCTGATTGGACCATGAGATCTTATGTTACAGGATTATTAAACATGTTTTTCCTCTGGGTCTGAGTCTGGAAAATACATTCACACGGTTTGTTTTTTATTCTAATGATCATTAGAACAAACCATGACCAGAGAGGGACCAGAGACAAGAGAGACCAGAGAGGGACCAGAGACCAGAGAGGGACCATAGACAAGAGAGACCAGAGAGGAACCAGAGACCAGAGAGGAACCAGAGAGAGACCAGAGAGGAACCAGAGGGACCAGAGAGGGACCAGAGACCAGAGAGATCAGTAAGTAAGTAAGTAAGTGAGCTTTTTTTATATACCGCCTTTCACAGACCAGAGTCACAAAGCAGTTTACAATTGTTATTTTTGGGCACTTGTCTCTCGCTCCACACAGAGATGGGAGCGGGGTCGCCGAACAGGACGAACTATTGGACATATTTTTAGTGGTAGGGGAAACCGGAGTACCCGGAGGAAACCTACGCAGACACGGGGAGAACATGCAAACTCCACTCAGAAAGGCCCTGGTCCGGCCAGGATTCCAACCCAGGACATTCTTGCTGAGAGGCGAGAGTGCTATCCACTCGGCCACCGTGCCGCCCACAAGATCAGAGAGGGACCAGAGAGGGACCAGAGAGGGACCAGAGAGGGACCAGAGAGGGACCAGAGAGGGAACAGAGAGGGACCAGAGAGACCAGAGAGAGACCAGAGAGACCAGAGACAAGAGTGACCAGAGACGGACCAGAGACAAGAGAGAGAGAACAAAGACCAGAGAGGGACCAGAGAGAGACCAGAGAGACACCAGAGAGAGACCACAGAGAGAGACCAGAGAGAGACCAGAAAGAGAGACCAGAGAGAGATCAGAGGGAGACCAGAGAGAGTCCCTGCTCCTCTGTCCCTGTGGTACCTGAAATAGTCTCTTTGCTGTCGGTGATTTCCTCAGAGAGAAATCTCGTTAGTGTCGCATATAATTAACTGTGTTTGTCCACAGAGAGTCTGCAGCTGCAAAGAATTCATGACCCACAAAGAAATATTTATCATTATTTATCATTTATTATTAATATTTCAGAAGTTTCACACCAGAGAAACTGTTGGAATGTTTTCTTATACAGAGGTTTGACACAGAATAAGTCTGATTTCAGGACTGGATTTGAAGTGTGTGTGTGTGCGTCTGAGTGTGTGTGTGTGTGTGAGTGTGTGTCTGTGTGTGTGAGTGTGTGTCTGTGTGTGTGTGTGTAATCTGTCCAGAGTCAGACGTGATGATGCAGAACAGATTATTTGTCCCGGATCTAAACAGGACTTTGATTTTAAATCTATGTTTTATCTCTGTCTCTGGGAACCGAGGTCGACGAGACCAAATCTCTAACGGCCTCCGCCACAAACAAGTTAATGGACATGAAGCCACATTATTTATTTAATAAACTTAATAAAACCCTAACCCTAACTCTAGTTTTTAAAGGGGCATTAGGAAACTTTCTATGTGTTTTGATTGAGTAGGGACTGAGTGTTTGCATGAGTAACAAAGAGGAACCAGAGACCAGAGACTGGAGAAAGACCAGAGAGAGAGAGACCAGAGAGAGACCAGGGAGACCAGAGAGACCAGAAATAGAGAGACCAGAGAGACCAGAAACAGAGAGACCAGAGAGAGACCAGGGAGAGACCAGATAAACCTGTAAAAGATCAGAGAGAGAGCGAGAGAGACCAGAGAGAGACCAGAAAGACCAGAGAGAGAACAGAAAGAGACCAGAAAGATACCAGAAAGAGACCAGAAAGATACCAAAGAGACCAGATGGAGACCAGAGAGAGGGACCAGAGAGAGACCCGAGAGAGACCAGAAAGGGACCGGATGGAGAGACTAGTGAGAGACCTGATAGATGCTTCACAAATGTATAGACAATATATGATGTATGTGAAACCTGAAATGACATGAACAAAAATACATAAATAAAACATATTTATCGCTGCTGTGTCCTTTAGCGAGAGCAGATATGAAGAAGATAAGTCCACAATAGTTAGAATCAGACGCTGCAGATTACACTGGTCCAGATATGAACTGTTCAGCACTATTTAAACTCTGAGAGGACCATGTGTCACAGAGCAGGACAGCTTCTGGTGAGTGCATTTCTCTGCTCTCTCTCTGGTCTCTCTGATCTCTTTCCAGACTCTCAGGTCTCTCTCTAGCCTCTCTCTGGTCTTTCTGGTCTCTTTCTGGTATCTTTCTGGTCTCTTTCTGTTCTCTCTCTGGTCTCTGTCTGGTCTTTCTCTGATCTCTCTCTGGTCTTTCTGGTCTCTCTCTGGTCTCTCTCTGGTCTCTCTCGTCTCTTTCACGTCTCTCTCTGGTCTCTCTCTGGTCTCCCTCTCGTCTCCCTCTGATCTCTCTGGTCTCTTTCACGTCTCTCTCTGGTCTCTCTCTGGTCTCCCTCTCGTATCCCTCTGGTCTCTTTCTGGTCTTCCTTTGGTCTCTCTCTGATCTCTCTCTGGTCTCTCTCTGGTCTCTCTGATCTCTCTCTGGTCTCTCTCTGGTCTCTCTCTAGTCTACCTCTGGTCCCTCTTTGGGATCTCTCTGGTCTCTCTCTAGTCTCCTTCTAGTCTCTCTTTGGTCTCTCTCTGGTCTCTTTGGTCTGTCTCTGGTCTTTCTCTGGTCTCTCTCTGATCTCTCTCTGGTCTCTCTCTGATCTCTCTGGTCTCTCCCTGGTCTCTCTCTCTGGTATCTCTCTGGTCTCTCTCTGGTCTCTCTCTGGTCTCTCTCTCTGGTCTCTCTCTGGTCTCTCTCTCTGGTCTCTCTCGGGTCTCTCTCTCTCTGGTCTCTCTCTGGTCTCTCTGTCTGGTCTCTCTCTGGCCTCTCTCTGGTCTCTCTCTGGTCTCTCTCTGGTCTCTCTCTGGCCTCTCTCCGGTCTCTCTCTGGTCTTTCTCTAATCTTTTTCTGGTCTCTCTCTGGTCTCTCTCTGGTTTCTCTCTGGTCTCTCTCTGGTCTCTCAGCTCTAATGGTCTTGTCTCTCTACAGAGTCACAGACACTCAGCAAACATGAATCTCTGGGTATGTTTGGACCCATATAAAGATAGTTATATATTTATAGTATTTTCAAGTTGTTGATGGTGTCATTGCTGGTTCTGTCCACAGCTCCTCTTGTTGAGTCACGCTCTGGTCGTCGGTGAGTAACCTTTTCACCTTTATTCTTATTGTAACTTTATTGTTCAATTATTTCAAAAATCACAAATCTAAAGAAGCCGTTACTGTAAATTCAGGTGTGCGGTAGTTAGCCATGCTTCTGTTTGATTATAAATATTTGAAATGGTTAGCCGTGCCTCTATGTCATGTGCGCAGGTATATAGAAACTCAATAACCTTAGAAGAAAGATGTCGTAGGATTTTTTTTAGGTGGTGCAACGCTTTGAAGTCAATGATTTGGGTGTATAGTGGTTAGCCGTGCTTCTAAGATCATTTAGACATATTTGAAGTGGTTAGCCGCGCTTCTGCGTCATGTGCTCAGGTTAAAAGTGGTTAGCCATGCTTCTAAGTTTGATTATATACATTTGAAGAGGTTAGAAGTGCTTGTACGTCATGTGCGCTGGTTACAAGGGGTTAGCCATGCTTCTAAGTTTGATTATATACATTTGAAGAGGTTAGAAGTGCTTGTACGTCATGTGCACTGGTTACAAGGGGTTAGCCATGCTTCTAAATCCATTATTAAGTCGAAGTGCATAGAGAAAGCCAATAACATTTAAAGAAAGATGGTATAGGAATACTTTTAGGTGTGTTTGGTGTGGTTAACAATGTTTTTAAGTTCAACGATTCAGGTGTGACGTGGTTAGCCGTGCTTCTAAGATCGAGTAGACATATCTGAAGTGGTTAGCCATGCTTCTAAGTTTGATTATGACTATGCAAATTGGTAGTGGTTGGCCAAAGTCTGCGTGTTCTGGTCTGATTTTATAAAACAACATGTGTTATTTATGTGGAGCAAATATTAGGCATGTATTGTTGACTCCAGAGAGCAGATTTAAAAAGCCACAGACGCAAAAGAGCATAAAAATAATCAGTTTTCTGATTTGTCCAATATTTGTCTCATTTTTATCTCTTTTGTTTCTACAGTGAGTCAAGATCGGTACCCCGACGATGAGACGGATCCGACAGAAGAACCTCCCACTCCCCCAGACTCAGGTGAGAAACCCTGCACACACACACTCACACTACACACGTACATTTACTTTACATATGGTCTCTCTCCCTGGTCTCTCCCTAGCCTCTTTCTGGTCTCTCGTTGGTCTCCCTCTGGTCTCTCTCTCAAGTTTCTCCATCTGGCCTCGATTTGGTCTCTCTCTCTCTCTGGTGTCCCTCTCTCTGGTCTCTCTCCCTGGGTTTTCCCTGGCCTCTTTCTGGTCTCTCTCCCTGGTCTCTGTCTGGCCTCTCTCTAGTCTCCCTCTCTAGTATCTCTCTCTGGTCCCTCTCTGGTCTCTCCCTCTGGTCTCTCCCTAGCCTTTTTCTGGTCTCTCTTTGGCCTCCCTCTGGTCTCTCTCTCAAGTCTCCCTCTGGTCTCCCTTTGGTCTCTCTCTCTGGACTCTCTCTCCGGTCTCCCTCTTTCTGGTCTCTCTCTTTGGTCTCTAAAGCAAAAGTTGTGTCCATGAGGAGAAAGTCCTGTGTTCTGCCTTTAAAGTTCAAACTAAAGTTTAGCCTCTAAATTAACTTTGTCTTAATTCCATGCACTGTTGGACTTAAATGTTAATGTAGTAACAAGTAGGCAATGCAAGGTTATTTGTATAGCACAGTCCATACACAAGGAACCTTCAAGTGCATGATAGAAACAGTACTTCAGTGATGTGACATTCTGAGGGAAATCATCTCAAATCCTGTTTCAAAACCAAAAATAAATTCACTTTATTTCCATTTACTTCATTCATAACACATTACAAACATTTAACATTTAAATACTAATAACAATGTTTTTCTCTGCTTCATTTCAGACGCAGAACCAACTGTTGCGAACCAACAGTTGTTCTTGTTGAGAACCTTTTATCTAAATAGATTTTCTTTCTGCTCCTGTTTTTGTGTCGTCAATGAGAAGTCAGTGAGATATATTTGCGTTAAATCCAAACTGCAGCCAGAGCTCAGACTTCTGTGTCGTCTTTCAGAGTCCACAGCATCACATGTGAGGCCGGTGTCCAGACTCCACCCATTTCCTCAAATCTTCAAGTTAAGACCGTAGATTGTAAATATGAACGGACGTCACATCTATCTCCGCCGTTGAAACTAATGTGACATCACCTTTGGCTTCTACGGGCCTTTTTCATAATGGCCGTGGGCAGCCCCTCCCGCAGGAAAATGTGAAAAAAAGCCATATTCATTTAACGTGTGCATTCTGAAGTCCACAGCGGCTAAACTAGACTGGTCCAAAAATAATTTACTCCCCTCAGTATGGACAGCATCAGGAACGTATAGCTTTGGACCAAGAGCCACTTTTGGAGCATCCTGTAAAGGCGTTTTTGCGAGTAAAGAAGACGTCATACAAAAATATTGGGTAATTCTGTTTCTGAGTACACCCCCACAGGCAAGGAGTAAGATTGCAGGATGTCAGTGTAGTACTCATGGACCTTTTTGAGCCGGGACCCACTCACACTTTTGGAAGTGTGAGCGGGTCTACTGTCTTCACGTGTGATGCTGTCGACTCTGAAGTTTAACCATGGTACGACATTCTTGCCCCGTCCCTTCTGTCCAAATTCTCAATTTTCAAACTCGTCATGTGATGGCAAATCATCAATCTCTCCGCAAAAAAAAAACAAAAAAAAAAAATTCTTTCCTTTCAGATCACTTGCACACGGAGGAAGCCACGCCCCCTCCACACAACACAATCATCAAGCCCTACTGTGAGTATACATCATTACTTTCTGTATATTTATTGCGATAAAGCTTCACTTCGTAACTTTTCTAATGACCAGTTCCCGTGGAGATAATGATAAAGCTGTAATATTCCACCTTCACAACCAAAGTCAAAGCAGCGTGCCTGACTAACCTTATACATGCGCGCATACGAGATTGATTTTTTCCTAGTTTTTTGCCATTTTCTAAGCAACTCTTTTACCCATGTAAATCTTCAATTGTTTGTGTTTTTATTTTTTGAATATCATGAATATTTAGGGCGATAACAACCTAGTTATCAGTTTCCTTTACCATAGCATAGACCTGTTCTAGACCTGCCTTTGTCCCGTTCTTACTTTTGTCTGGTGTTGATTCTTTAGTTTGCTGGACTCCGTGGTTCGACAGAGACAATCCTTCTGGTAAAGGAGACTATGAGACTATTTACCATCTGCGAAAGGAAAACCCTGGAAAGATCTGCGACAAACCTCTTGGAATCGAGGTCCGGACCATCTCAGGACTGCCAGCCTCCTCCACCGGGAATAACTTCTACAAGTCAGTAGATGTTTACCTTTACTTTTTACATAGGTTTCTGGTTCTGCGATCTAAAGCCCTTTCGAATACACAATGTTGATCATCTGTGACTAAAGATTTACTCTGGCTGAGCATTGGGCCAAAAACAGTGTGTTCCAGTTGAGCAAAAATCCAAAATGGCTGCGCAATCCATTTAGTTAAGTTCTAAGTAACAGTGCAAAAAAATTACGTTTGTTGTGCTATTTTCTGTTTAGCCGCTCTCCAACGTTTTTTTCGGTATCAAACCTGCTCAACACTTCAGCTTCTGCAGTTAGAAACGCTACAAGTTACGGATGCTAATATTGCTAACTGCTAACTATGCTGTAGCCTCTGAGCTCAGCCCCACTTCCTGGTTTGTGTCTGAGCATGAGCACTTCCTGTTATGTTTATTTTGTTGCTCCTTGTTGCTGATGAGAGCGTGAATAAACCGTTTAAAATCCCTAACTATAATCTTATCGAAGTCCTGAAGATATTGGGAATAAAACAACACCATTGTCAAGGTCAAGGTCAAGGTCAAGTTTATTTATAAAGCACATTTAAAACAACAATGCTGCCCAAAGTGCTGTACACAAAAATACATGTATATAAAATACACAATTTGAATATAATAAAATTAAAATACAGATGCGGAAAAACAAAATTCAACACCAGCAAAAAAAGTCCTGCTCAGTTTTAATTAAAGGACTTCGCAAACAAATGGGTCTTCAACATAGACTTAAAAATGCCTAAAGACTGGGCTGCCCTAATATTTAAGGGGAGACCATTCCAAAGCGTCGGAGCCGCGACAGCAAAAGCCCGGTCTCCTCTGGTCGACATTCGTGACCTCGGTACGTCTAACAGAAACTCGTTAGCTGACCTCAATGTTCTGCTCGGAGTATGAACAGACAGAAGCTCAGAAAGGTACGCAGGAGCCGTCCCATTCAAACACTTAAACACCAACAACAGCATTTTAAACTGAATTCTGTGTTTTACAGGGAGCCAATGTAAAGAGGCCAACACAGGGGTTATATGTTCAAACCTTTTGGTTCCCGTGAGCAGACGCGCTGCAGCGTTCTGTACCAACTGCAGGCGATGGATCGAGCTTTGCTCTAGCCCACAATACAACGAGTTACAGTAATCCAAGCGGCATGTTATAAAGGCATGAATCACACTCTCCAGATCTCTATGTGGTAAATACGGCTTAATTTTACTCAGAAGACGCAGTTGGTAAAAACTTGACTTTACAACTGAACCTATTTGCTTGTCCAACTTAAAAGATCCATCTAGGACCACACCAAGGCTCCTGGCTGACTGGTGACAGTAGCCTTTTAGTGGGCCAAGAACAGATGGATCAGACAACTTTCCAAAAACGACAATTTCCGTTTTAGATTCATTAAGTTTTAGAAAATTCTGGGCCAACCAGTCCTTTACATCCTGAATACAATGTAACAGAGCTTGGATGCCGTCTGAACCTGGTTTCAATGGCAGATAGACTTGCAGGTCGTCTGCAAAACAATGAAAGGGAATCTTATGTTTTTTGAAAATAGATCCAAGGGGCAACAGGTACAGTGAGAACAATAAAGGACCTAAAACTGAGCCCTGTGGCACTCCGCAGCTCAGTGGGGCCGCATCTGAGCTGTAAGGTCCCAGGTGGACAGAGAAGGAGCGATTTTCAAGATATGATCTGAACCATTTTAGGGCCGTTCCTCCAATACCAACATGGTTTTCAAGGCGGGAAAGCAGTATTTGATGGTCCACCGTGTCAAACGCTGCAGTTAAATCTAAAAGTACTAAAATAGTGGGGTGACCCGAATCAACATTTAAAAGAAGGTCATTAAAAACTCTTAAGAGTGCAGTTTCAGTGCTATGACACGGTTTAAAACCCGACTGAAATTTTTCAAGGAGGCTATTTGCTTCCAAGTGAGACTGAATTTGGGCGTGAACCAATTTCTCCAGAACTTTTGATAAAAAAGGCAACTTAGAAATTGGCCTGAAGTTAGACAGAACTTCAGGATCTAAGCTGTGTTTTTTAAGTAGAGGCTGGACAGCAGCATGCTTGAAAGCACTTGGGACGCTGCCCGAGATCAATGATGAATTAATAATTCTCATTATAAAGGGCCCAATCACACTGAAGGAGTCTTTAAGAAGTTTAGACGGGACACAGTCAAGTGGACAATCAGAGGGTTTTAACTGGCGCACCACAGTAGACAGCTCATCAAGTGACACAGATTCAAAATGTTCAAGGACCACAGAACAAACAGAATTCACAGAAGGGTCCACAGCAGCACAATGTAATGTAGAATCCCGAATAGCAGATATTTTATCCACAAAGAATCTTTGAAAATTGACACACAAAGTTTCTGATGGTACAATGCCACTGGATTCAGTGGGATTCACAAGGCGATTTAAAACAGTAAAGAGAACTTGTGGTTTGTGACCATTTGTAGATATCAGGTTTGACATGTACTCAGTTTTAGCGCATTTTACTGCTCTTTGATAATTAGACAAACAATCTCTTAAGATGCCCAGGGAAACATGAAGTCTGTCCTTTTTCCAACGCCTTTCTGCACGTCGGCACTCACGCCTGAGCGTGCGCGTGGTGTCATTTAGCCAGGGCTGGGACTTACTCTTAGGCTTACATGTATTATAAGGAGCAACTAAATCCAGAATTACAGTACACGTAGACGTGAACAAACAAGTTAGCGCATCAGTATCAGAGTCACACGACAGTGAAGGCGCAGAAGAAACAAAGGCATTAGAGAATGCCTTTGCTGTAGAGGACGTGATTACGCGTCGCCTGCGCGCCATGGCACATGGAGCCAAAAGGCAGGGAAGATTCAGTGAAAACAAAACAGGTATATGATCCGAAATCTGTGTATTACAGAGATCCTCGATGCGTACAGTCAAACCATAAGATAGAACGAGATCGAGTGTGTGCCCCTTTTCATGCGTGGGGCCACTGACCCACTGCGTCAGATTAAAAGAGTCAATCACAGTTTTAAAATCCTTGACCAAAGGCTTGGAGTCACAACAGACATGGATATTAAAATCACCAGCTATTAAAAAATGGTCAAATTTAAGAGCAATTCCTGCTAAAAAGTCCGAAAAGTCCACGATAAAATCTTTATTGAATTTAGGCAGACGATAAATGAGCGCGCACAACACAGGCACGCTACGCTGTATCACAAATAGCTACAGTTCAAAGCTCGAAAAAGGAGTTTGATGGATACTGACGGCATTTAAGAACAGAATTAAATACAGTGGCACGCCCTCCACCTTTGCCAGAGGTACGAGGAGTGCTAATAAAGTCACAGTCAGGAGGAAGGAGCTCAGAAAAGGCTGGACACTCACCGGGCCGAATCCAAGTTTCTGTCAAAAGCATTAGATCCAAATGACGAGATACAAAAAAATTATTGAGTACGAAGGTCTTATTCGCCAATGATCTGACATTCATTAACGCAATATGAAGAAAGTCCTCATTGTTAGGCATGCGGCCATGGGTTAGCATGCAAAGGTTTTCCTGGTTTACTCCTGGGCGGCTAGCTCTGCGTCTCCGGGGACTGATCCACTCCAAAGGCGGCGTTGACATCGGGTGAGTCCCGATAGGGGCTCCAATCAGCGGTATAGGGACAAGCCAGCGCCGATGAAGATCTCCAGAAGCGTGACCATAATGTGGAGACAAGCCTTTTTTGGCACGTTGGTAAGCTCTAACTTTTACCAGGATGCCACCTCGTTTCCCTCTCCTGCGTTTCCTACGAAGCACACCAAGAGGAGCAACGCGCAGGTGAGCCGGTATAGAAGCTAAAAGTGGCGGTGGTGGTGGACATGAATCCTGTTTGGCAAAACAGTGCTTCAAGTAGGTTTCATACGAAGTCCGAATATTTAGTAATGCCCTGCGGTCATACACAAGTGATGCAGAGACATTAGAGCAATAGACACAAATCCATAGAATTAACAAAACTCCAAATAGGACAGGGAGACGGAGCGCCGTGCACACTGCTGGCGCCATCTTGGTAAGTGAGCAGACCTTTTTCAGACCCAAAACCAGACCCAAAACCGGACTAGACCAGGCACAGACCAGGACCATTGTCTTAGTAGCAAACAGGGGAAGAGTATGAACAGGAAGTACTCCAGCTAAGACACGAACCAGGAAGTGGTCGAGACAGCGAGGCCTTTTGCGATAATTTTATTTTCGAGAGTTGAACATGATACAATACAATAATACTACATTAAAATAAACATATGCATAATTTCTGTGAACAATAATCAGATACAGTCGATACATACAGCAGTTGGTAGGATAAAACATTAAAATTACTAGAAATTACACAGTGTACCTTTAAAACTTGAATTCCCAGAGACCTGCTCTGATGACCTCTCACACGCAGCATTCTGAGTGATATTATGGATAAATGGGCGTTAATTTCGTTTTTGGTTTTTTTTGCGTTAATGAAAAATGTAATTAACGTGAGTTAACGCGATAATTTTGACAACCCTAATATTTACAGTGTATGGTCTGAACGCGGTTTTGTTTACAAGTTGTCTCCACACGATTGTCAAGTGCCTGAAATGTTTGGAGAGATCCGGTCATTTATCAAACTAAAGTATTCTTTCCTTGGCAGTCTGGTGAATGACTGAGAGTTGAGGAGCTTTGTCTTTGACAGTTCTCGTCAACTGAAAGGCCACCGCAGACTGCAATATAAGATCTCAGCGCTAGATGGCACTAAATATAACACAGTGTACCTTTAAGTTTTTAAGAAAGATCCCAGTTTTTCCAATGTAAAAAGTTTATTGAGAAACTAAATATTAACATACTTTGCTTCAGAGGAGTAAATGCATGTGTTTTACAAAATCTCACTGTGAATCTCCCTCAGCTCCATGTCCTGTAACAACGACCCATTCAGTTTGTATTCAAAACCGGTTCAAATCCTCCAGAAAATAACAAATACAACAGTATTTTTTCCTGAAATAATGACTGAAAAGGTTTAGGCTGATGTCACTGATCAAAGCCTAACATCACAGAGAACAGTCTAGGGTTTGAGACCGGGATCAGGCCGACAGTAGGATGACCCTGAGGCGTTCCACCGCCTCCTTGGAGCGCCCCCTGGTGGTCAGACAGACAGACTCTTTACTTACTACTTTACGATGTATAGATTTCTTATGAAACAATAGAAGCAACAATAGTTGAAGCTGAACTCATTACAACAATAAGCTGAAGCAGGTTTTCCACAGTTTTGGTCTGAAGCTAACGAAGCTAATGAAGCTAACAAAGCTAATGAAGCTAACAAAGCTAATGAAGCTAACTTCTCTCTTGGTGACGT